CACATATAGCTGCTGATGCATCAGCTGGAGAAAAACAAACAGCTCAGGTGCAGCCGCCGTTCTGCTATGACTAAACGGTAATAAATGAAAATCGAGGGGAAACGTTGAATATACAATAAGCAGCCTGGGAGGGTATAATAAAGATCCATTGGTTCCATATTCTGACGAGGCACTGCTGACCAGTGTGGAAGGGAAGAAATGTGTTCTTTTGTTGGATGTGGGGCTTTAAATTCCCCCACACACGAGCAGCTCAGCATCTTCTACTCAGTCAGAATTAGATAGTATTTGCTCTTTCTTCCAAATGAATGAAAAAAAATAAGCTCGTCAACAAGGGACGCAAGGAAATGTTTCCAACAACATCTAACCGTTAAAGCTGGTCAACATCAGCGGAACCAGAATTCTCAAGTGCAGCATTTAGTTAATTAAACAAATTCTTCAGAAGTTCATCAGTGCACAAGTAGGAAGACGTGATTTCATTAATCCACAAGCTTGATTAGAAATGTAATATTGACGCTAAAGCATGTGGAATTTAAATCTGTGCAGGTATTTTGAAAGGATAAATGCATCTTTGCAGAAACGACGTTTCTCTAGAAAACCCAACAGACAGTTTTCACGGGAGCTTTTTCAAATTGAAGTCAAACAGCTAGTCATTGTTACCGGCGAGGCCCGCAGATTATTCTGGGACACGGGGACGCCGCCTTAAATGGAATCCCATTCAGAACAGTTTTGTTAAGGTGGCAGCAAAAAACCTCAAAGGTAGATATCTCCAAATGTGGACAAATGAAAACAAAGCACACTGGAGGTAAGTAAGAATATAATAGAAAAAAAAAACTCAAGTCAGGCTGAAGCAGGAACTAGACAGATGAGGAGCTTTTAATAAGGAGCAGCAGCCACAAAGAATGTAGTCAGAGTAAGTACAGGTGTGGAGATGTAAATAAGGCGTCATCCATATATTAAAACAAGCAAAGATCTGACGCTCTTTGAAGCACTACCAATCGTTCAGAGTGACTTTACTGTAGTCACTGTCATTATTAGATCAACTGTAAAAGCTCACATGGAAAACATTTATCACACTCTCACATCCATAAAATCAGAATCACCAACAGATTCCAGGATTCAACGATCAGAACCTCAGATGGAACACATCTTAGGTGAACCTCAGACATCAAGGTTCTGCTGTTCTCTTTCCTATTGAAGTGTGTGTTGTCATCGTGCCAAGAACTGAAGGTTCTGGATGCCTAAGAGTCTGGCAAGGAGTTTAAAACAATCTCCAACAGATTTGAACTCCACTGTGAGGAAAATCATCTACATTGGGCATTGATTTCAAACCAATTGGTCCAGGACTGGCCGGTCCAGCAATTTCAGTCCAAGCGCAAAGGGTTTGATTCAAAGAGAAGTTTCAAGAACATTTCTTGTCCGGTTCTGAAGGTAACACGGAGAAATACAGTACACAAATCTCACCTGCATTGGAGTCGTGCCAGTAAAAAGTCTGTTCAAGAAGAACATTAGAGCTGAAGTACAGTTTGCCAACAAACTATGGTCCAAGAACCAAGTCTCTGGCCGTCTAACTCTCAACTCTTTGAATCTTCTGTCCAGAGAGCATTATTCCCAAAGCAACACATGATTGGGACAAACCTAAGAAAGCTTCTCAGAACAACAATCTCAAACCAGCTGTGTGCTTTTATGCAGTCATTGATTTAACTATGAGTTCGGCGTCATATCAAAGAGTTTCTAACGATAATGTGAGACCATCTGTCCAGAAGTTGAAGTTAAAGGGGCGGTGGAGCTTTCAACGGAATAATGATCTTCTCACCACAAAAGCAAATCCACCAAGGAATGGCTCCAAAGGAAGAAATCAGAGGGTTAAGGAACAGCTTTGTCGAAACCAAGAGTTTAGTCCAATTGAATGCTTGTGGGGGGCCTGAGAACATCTAGTCTCTGAAGGATTTTTTGCTTTGAAGAATGGTCAAAAGTTTCATCAAGCTGATGTCAGAAAATGGGAAACAATTCTGCAAAACACCTACAAAAAGTTATTTATGCTACAGGGGAAAATATCAGCTTCCGAGGCCACAGAAGTCTTACATTTATTGATATTTTTGTTGCATAAATCATCAACAAAACTAATCTCCCTTGTTGTTGTGTTCAAGTAAACCATTTTATCTGTAGGCAAATGTCAAAATATGTCCAAAAAAAAAGCCAGCAGTTTCAAATAAAGTTATAATGAGCTTACTTTAACTGTTTATGTGAATGCAAAAAGGCCTGTAAGTGTTTATATGGGTCACAGATTAGAGAACATAATCACTTTTAGAGTTAGCCTGATGAACTAGCAATGCTATAACATCAAATATTAACATGCTAGCCTATAATTACAGAAAACCTCAGTTCAGATATTGAAAAACATGTCTGGGGTCATTTATAAACAGTGTGTCATCAACAAGGCTTGGAGACAGATGAAAATGGCTAATGACGTAGCTAATTGGCATGCTAACCGCTAACATGCTAACCAGCAGCTACATCCATTTGGACACATCTTTCTTTGTACGGGGCTATTTACTTCCCGTGATATTTTGTTCTTGGGATTATAATTCCATTCAAGTTGACAAAGCTACCCTGGCTAACTAGCTCGTTAACTGCTTCCTGTCAGTTAGCAATCTCATTAGCTCAGTCATTGGTGACACTAGGTTCAGACAGAATTGATTTTGCTACAGATGTTTAGACATTTTAAAACCTGCTGTGATGAGGTGTTTAAGTTCTTTAAACTGTAAATATCCGACACAGTACTGATCTTGTTCATCAGCCTTCTCAGACCCGAATTTCAGAGGAGACCCGACAGGTGAGGAGGGTAAAACATTTCCAGGGACAGCTCTTTTTTTTTTTTTTAGCCTTTCTGTGTCCGTTGTGGTGTGGAATCCCACAGCAACATTAAATCTGACTGGAAGTAACTTTGCCCCGTGAACATTGAGGATATAGACAACAGAGCTTTTCAACACAGTGACGCCAGAGAGGAGACTGCTACTCGATGAGGGCATCGAAAGGGCAAAATAAATAAATGGATCTTTTCGTTTTCTCTGAATTTAACCAGTCACCACTGTCTTGTCTGGGTTTAATCGATCAGCATCAAGCCCCGCACAGCAGTTTTTCAGGGCCCCTTAGTACAGCCGTGAAAGAGGGTCAACATGGACAGTTCCTGCACTTAGAACAGGAACAAAAGTTCAGGCCACAAGTTCCTGCAGTGGAAAACATCCTACAGGAAGGACAAGTCCTAAGTTGATTGCTTATAATAGAATAATTTTTTTGTATACAAATATCTGTAATCTGTAAATCTGAAATGCGGTGTTTAAATATGCAAATTAGGTATTATATATGTAAAAATGTCCTCCTTTGCTTTAATATCCAAAACAAACATAAAGCAAGCTTCAAATTTTTGGTTCCATTTTGTTGAGATATTACAGCGAAAAGGTTTTTCCACCGGGGATTTTGGATCTTTTTTATCACTCAATAAATCATAAAATAGCATCAACAGCCAGGGAAGAAAAAAAAAATCAATTTCCACCATATTTTAAGGAATAAAATGTTCTTTAAAATCAGGCTATGAATGATAAATGAACAAACCCCCGCGCAGAAACTTTCAGAATATAAAGAGGAATAAAACTGTACAAGAAGTGAGACTGAAGAGGCGATTTCTCTCAGAAAACAGCCTTTAAAGATATTGATTAGAGCTGAAATCTAAAGGAACAAACACCGGGTACAAAAATAAACACTCAAATGCACATTTTTGGAAGTTTCCTTTGAATTTGTTCAAAAGATTATGGAAGCAAAATATCTCAAAATTGAGCAGCGCGTGAAAGAAATATGGTTTCGCTTCTGGCTCAAGTCATCCTCACTAAATTATGCAAAGATTTATTTAACTGTTTCAGCTACGGGCGTAAAAATCCAACATGTGCCAGGCAATAATATCAGTTATCTAACTTTCTCGAGCTTCATTAGAGGATATTTCGACACAGCCGCTGCCAGTAGATGCATCTGAAAGTGTAAATGTTGAGCCGGGTCCAGAGGAGGGACAAAGCAGAAGGATCACTTCCAACTGTGCTGCTGCGCAAGCAGGAAAAGCTGCTGAGGTGTTTTAACTAAAAGGCCCAAGTTCAATGTCGTCCTACATACACCGCTCTGGTGAACTACTCAGATATTTTGAACCCGCCTCGTTTCTATCTCGTCAGTCAGGAGCTCTGAATTATCATCCATCATCTGTGTACCTATACGGGTTTACGGTCTCAGAGCTGGCAGAGAGTCGTAACGCAGCGCAGGTCAACTCAATTTGATTTTATCCAACCTTCTGCTTTTGTTTAAGCTACATTTTACATGTGACATCTGCAGTAATAGGTTTTTAATCTGATGAAGTCAAGAGAGCATGAAGGCTCACATGAACAGGAGGAGGTTCAAGGTAACGCTGCTCACAGTCACCATCTAGTGGCCAGAGGAGGAACCACAGGTAAACAACACACTTCAAACTCTGCTGCACTGATAATATTTATACATTAACTGTTTAGGCTCCAGCCCCCCACGACCCTAGTGAGGATTAATCAGTGTATAGATTATGGATGGATGGATGTTTAGGCACCAAACCTCATAAACCACGGACACACCTACACCTGCCAAGTCACTGACAGAGTGCATGACCTGATCCCACCGCTGCTGCTGCCACCAAACCCTCCTCATACTTTCATTTCATAGCATACAAAATGCATAAATCATCTGGAAAGGCGTAAAACACACACACACACACACACACTCCCACAACCTTAATCAGACTCTGCGCTGTGAGTGAAAGTCAAGCAGGAGGTGTGGTATAATATTTTATTCACATATTTTATGGAATACAAAGCCCCAAAACCCCGACCCGCCCCACCCTCCCCCCCACCCCAACAAAAAGTGTGCACGTTGAATCTGGTGGAAAGTATTCAAAGTCAAGGAAAAGAACAGAGACAAAGGAACTCGCTTCATAAGTGTTGGAGTGTACGACTGCAGTTTTAATGTGATGTCCATATAAAAAGTATTCCCTCTCACCGTGAGCGAACCCTTTAAAAAAGTTGCCGAACATGGCGGGCGTCAGTTGACAAAAGGGCTGCAGCCACGACAGCTGAACAGAAAAACAAAACATGAGTTTCCTTGTAGAAAAAATAACTTTTCTTTCCGTCCATCTTTTTCTCCCCCCCCCACCCCCAGTATAACTACAAGGACGTAATGAATCATGTGCAACAATAATTTAGCTTTACGTGACTGCAAGTTCAGCCACTCATCTATTCTTTTACACCATCTCTTGCTAAGCTGCACGAAAAAAAAGGAATGAATATTTTCCCAACTGGACTTGGGACAGAAACAAAACAATGACAATTATACAAAAAAAAAAGAAAAAAGAAAGAAACAGCAGAAGGAATAAGAAAACTGCCAGCAGGGCTACAAATGGATACAACCTCAGATGTACTAGCAGCCAACCTAGGTCCAATAATGTAGGCTTTTTAAAAAAAAAAAAAAAAAAATGGCTTGGAAACATCTGGAGTGCATTTGACATACGTAGCCATAACTCCCCAGTGAACGTGGATCACCGGAACCATAATGCAGATTCCCATCGACTGGGAAAGAACTACTGAAGCACATTAACTATTTTCATGAAGGTCTGGCCAGAGGTCTTCGCTAAAACCAACCAGCCTGAAGACACGATGGGATGGCGGCAAAAAACCACTGACGAGTAGAGCGAATTAAAAAAAAAAAGAAAAAGAAAAAGAAAAAGAACAGTAACATCACTGCCATTGAATCCGTACATTTCAATGAATTACAAAGTCCATTACGGACCGGTTATGAGATGGTTTAGTTCGTGTTTAATCTCTTCCTGACCACTACACATCAAAACACACCAGAAAAACAAGTTAACCCGATACAATACACACACATCCAAGGTTCACTGTCCAAGAAGGTGCTGTCTGAAAGAGCCCCAGGTCCTCTGTGTCCACTTACGCTAAAGCGTCCGACTCAGCTGAGCCATCAGTTTGACCTTTCGAACTGCGAGAGCAACTGATGTGGTCGACACCGGAAAACAAGTTTAAAAAGAAAAAAAAAAAAAGAAAAGAAAGTGTTGGGGATGACGGAGCTTCACCTTGTCAGTTGTTCTCGTAGGGGAGAATAAAACAGGCTTCAACAGCTCGCTGTCCGTGGGTTGTTTTTTTTTTTTTTTTTTTCCTCTCATTGTCCTTTTTCTTCTCAGGTCCTCACACCATGTAGGAGTTCTGGTTCTTCAGCTTGTCCAGCTCTTTGCTCTGCTGCCTCAGAAACAGGATTCTGTCATTGAGAAGAGGAGAACAGTGTGAATGACTGCTTTTGGCTCAGACGTGCGGTTCTATGCAAATCCGAGTCATTTGCGTCTCACCTCTGTTCCCTGAGCGTGGCCTGGATCTCGCACACTCTGACCAGGGAGCGAAGGTTTTTCATCTCCGTGCAGATCTCGGACATGTACAGGCTGCCCATGTTGTGGATGTCCTCACGCAACCGGGCCGCCTGGCAGAGAGGGAAGAACACATCCTGTCAGGTAGTGGCTACACGTTTTCAAAATAAAACACCAAACATACTTTATATACAAGAATCAACTTTAGCCTCATAGCTTGGCTTCGACCTTAACCTTTGAAAAGCGAGTATGACGAAGGTGTCAGTTAGGTGTTGTGGATAGAGCAACGCAGCGGTCCCCAACCTTTATTGCACCATGGACCAGTTTTAAGCAAGAACATTTTTTACAGACCAAATAACTGTTTTTTCTATTAAAAAGTTTCATAAATGAATAAAATTACTTGCTACACATGTGTTTACTTTTTCTTCTGTCTCAGTATCGAGTCTCTCCCACGTTCCAGAGAAGCTGCGATGTTTGTTTTTTTATGAATTTCGGCAGCCGTTAGACCGACGGCCTCATTTAACGGATAAAAAGTGCGAGAAACAAGCACAGACGGATTCGACGGGAAGACGAGCTAGTCATTTTTCAAAATAACGCACACCAGTGGGTTCGTTTCTACTGGTGTGTGAGAAAAGAACCATGGATCTGCAGTCAAAGAAAAGTGTTGCTATCAGGGCAGTGAAGTCACTGCAGTCGGTCGCAACACGTCCAGATAAGCATCACGGTTCCTGAAAGCCTGTGTTGTGTTCACTTTCACAGAGGTAGAGTCTCTGTTCATGTCACTGTGGCGCCCTCCTGCATTCTTCTGCAGGGCTGCATGGAACTCTACTGGCTATGGATCAGTGTCAGCAGCAGAAACACAGCTAGATGAAGAAATTGGTCTATTGTCTGGTTTGTTACACACTTTTATGTTGACGTCAGCTTCTTGAATGAAATGATAGCCGACTCCAGCGAGGGGTGCTCGGGCTGCAACACGCTGGAGTGGGCGTGACGCACAGGCCACATTTGGCTACTGAGACCAGTTTCTATGTTTAGGTCAGTGGTGACGGCTCCGTTTCCGCGGCGATGGGGATATTCGGAGATCAAGTTTGATATCCCGATTCCAGCACAGCAAACGAACAGTCGGCTATTCGGGTCCAGCCCTACTTCTGCATGACTAACAGTACAGACGGGTAGCAGCAGATACACAGTCACTGCTAGCGACATGTTTTTTGGGTTTTTTTTTAAATGTGCTCGAGTGAAATTAGTTTTCGAACCAATAAGCAGAATCCAAATGAAAAATTCTCAATTGTTTCTCTGGATGAGGTTTTAGGTTAGAACTGGCTCTCTGTGGCCAGTCGTGGTCTTCCTGTACAGATGGAGTTGTAGTTTCTCACAGATTTCTTGGAACTCTATTCTCTAAAGAGGACCATAAGATGTGATCCTAAAAGAATCAGAAGATGAGCTCAAGGTTTGGAAACACCAAACAGGAAGATCTAATTATGAGAAAAGTCTGTATTTGTGCGAGCAGCAACATGAAGCTGAACTGTTCATTACCTGCTGGAAAGTATTTAGTTAGATTTTAAAAGTAAGACAAAAAGGTTACAACAAATTAAAACTACGAATAAAATATAGCCAGCACCCCATCGATAAACAACCGGGGCAGGCATCACACTGCTCTGTCACACTGGACTTTACCTGTTTCTCAGTGTTTTCTGAAGGCCATCCTTGGATATGTCTGATGAGGTTTTCATCGAAATGAGCTGCCAGGGTGGGAGTGAAGGAGCCAGGAGTGTCGGACTGGGTTTGGCTGCTGCCGCCGCCGCCGCTGCTGCTGGAGGGGGCATGAGCCATCGCACCACCAGACAGGTTTGATCCTGTGCACAGAATCTCCTGGCTGCTGGACGAGATGGACAACTGGGTTAGCCGTGTGGAGGCTGTGCTGACAAAACGCAGATGCAGTTTTACTTAAATCCTGCTGTTTTTATCATCAGTCAGTCAGTTGGTGATTGTGTGGAATCGATCTGTACCCAGTCATTAGTGTCATCTCCAATCCCGTTGTGTTGTCATTTCAGCACGTGTTTAAAATAAATAAATAGCTCAACATATTTCTCATTCAGGGAACTGCATTGCTAGATTACTCCAGATAATACACAGACCTCATTGTAAACACTTTCTGCAAAACAAATAGCTCCTTTGTAAACTGTCTGGGACACGTGTTGCTGGATTTTGCGAAATGTGTTTTTGTAATTCAGGTGAAGCGTCCTCTTGGTCCCTCTTGGTTTCTGTTTTGTTTGCTCTGCCTCCGAGCAAACTTATCATCACAAACGAATGAACGAGGTGAAGGGATTTCTAATGAATTCTACCTCCTTTGCTGCAGAGTTCTCGGGTCTTCTGGACGCTTTTCTGTCGTCTGAGACATGGAGGCTGATCCTGGCTTCCCTGAACTTAAACTGCCCTGAAGACGAGAGAACAGTTGTCAAGAGAGGAGGGAAAAAATTGCAAACAAAACGAGGTATGGAGATGTGGTAGAAAAGTTCAAAGATAAGACGCCACAGATGAGGGCAGTCATAACACGGGGGAGAGAAGAGAGGAGGAGAGGAGTGAGTCATGGGAGAGTCTTCAACACTTCCGAGGCTCACCCTGGATATGGACACGATGTTGCCGGGGTGAATGCCCATAAGTGACTTCTGGTTGGTCTGTGGCGTGCCGTTCCGTGGCGAGACGTACGGCCGTGGTGATGAGGCATCCGACGTCAGGGAGACCGGAGACTGACTGGAGTGCTGGGCTGAAAACAGGATTGGTGTGGAGTTAGAGAGGTTCATCAGCTTTGACTTATGCTAGCGTGTATTTTCAGTAGTAGCTGATGTCTGACGAGATGACCTCGCTCGGTGTAACAGCAAAGAACTAAAATGTAAAGGCTCGTATAGGGAATAAGAAGGATTTCAAGGCTGAATACGGCCATCTGCTAAATGCTCAGCCAACTTTTGTATTTACTTTCTTAAAAAAACTTATGTGAAAACTGACTTGCTAGCAATGAGGGAGGCTCATTGGAATACATGGGACAGTGTCTTTTTGTTCTTCCGCACAGACAAAGTCAATCTAAAAAGCCCTTAAGCGACACACACAGTAACCTTGCATGAAGTGCCAAGAATTTAATTGAATGAAGGTCATCTTAGGGAGTTATTTGTGGGGACAGGAAGTGCAGGATTCTGCATATAAACAAACAAACACAAACAAAAAGGAAAAAAAACAGTAGTGATAGCAGATGGTGAGAAATGGCAAAGAGGCCGTACCTTGGTTGGAGTGCTGAGCAGCTGAGAGCAGAGCAGTGACGTTGAAAGCAGGTCCAGCAGTGAGGAGCTTATGAAGCACAGACCGCAAGGAAGCTTGGGTGACAGCAGCTGCCAAGACTGGAGGGAGGAAAGAGGGAATGTACACACAAACACACACACACACAAACAAACACACACACACACACACACACACACACACAGGTGAGTGAGCAAGGACGCACAACAGGTGAGGGCACAAATGTGTAAAAGTCAAGTCAGGAAACACAGTTTAGACGAGAAACCAAGTCAGTGCAAACAGTCTGTTCCACCAGCCGCGGGAGTCGGCTCGTGTAAATGTCACTTCACCGGCAAACAACTGAAGGAAGTCGCAGATTAAACAACGAGCGCCACAAAACAGTGAGGAATTCATTATAAATAACAAGAGAACGCCCTGGTTAGGAGAAGCAGTCGCCCATTAACAACGCCATCAAACGACACGGATAAGAATGAAAAGACGACGACATGTCTTGCTCTACACGTATGTCTTTATCAACAGCTGTGTAAATACAAGCTGTCCTATTGACCGACCCCCTATTTGACTTTTTTTTTTGTCACCGTAAGCCTGCTGCAAACAACCGATAACACACAACTCTCTGTGGGAGCTGGTGTCACAGATAACTACTGAAAAATGGAAGACGGCAATATGGATGGAAGTCAGGGCTGCCACAGCATAACTGATTCTACTGATGCTGAAAATACATCCAACACTGATATTTCTAATTATTATTATAACGCCTCAATTCATCATCATGTGTTTTTTTCCCCAGTATGACTACATAATTTCCAGCTCCAGTCACTGGTCAGCTGCAGCAAAGTCCGACTCTGTTCAGTGGAAAAGTTCCTCAAAGATCCAAGGCTTCAGAACTACGCGAGTACTTCAAATTATCACAGAATAAAAAGGTGATTTGTACACTGCAGTTTCAGTGGCCTACCACAGCAGCTTTAGCACAAACACCTGACGAGAAAACACAGGTGCCTTTCAGCATAATGGTTTTACTTCTCTCCTGCTCTCTGTGCTCAAATGTTCGGTTTTCCAACGCAGCCGAATTCCAGATAAAGCTGTTCTACTTCACATGTTTCTCTGTTTCTGTCGTGAGGAAGTATGAAAAGGTGACGGCTCATAAACAGCACATGTTAACCAGCAGTCACTTCCAAGCTGCTGCTCCTAATTTTCTAATCGTTACGTCGTCTGACAAACTCACCGGACGAGTTAAATATGATCAGGAATGCTGGGAATTCTGCTACATGCTTAAGAATTCAAAGCTAATGCCGAAGTCACACACACATTACACAATAAGGACAAAAGGAGTTGCTTTAGCTGCTCTTTGCTTGTAAAATATCCACAGAGTCCGTGCTGCCCCTTCTTTAACATAAAGACTAAAAGTTCTTCAGTTTGTTTGAAGATTTTTTTGTTATACTTTAATCACATTGGAGGTTCTATTTTAACATTATCTCATACTGTACTATATACACAGCGACACAGTTTGTCAAAATAGAACAACGTTAAATGAAACTGACATTTGCTATTTTGGCAGAAACCTGCTCAGATCAACTTATAGAAGGATTAATGGATTTAAACAACTAGTCGTAGTGGCAGCCCCAGCGGAAGTGAAAGAATGTTAATCTTGTGTTTGCCATCATCTCCTCACCCTCATTGAGCTTCGCCATGTCCATGCTGCCGTTGTTCATCTGCAGGTTGGCCTGCAGCGCCGGCAGCAGCTGATGCAGGAGGGCTGGGTCCTGGAGCAGCGCTGGCGACGGCGACTGGACAGATGAAGGCACCTGGCCTGAAGAGGAGGAAGAGGAGGACGACATGTTGGAGGAGGTGGAGCCTAAAGCGCCGGCAGCAGCAGAGTTCAGGCTCTGAGAGGAAGAGGAAGAGGAGGAATGGCCGCAGTTGGATGCCGAGGACTGGTCCCCTGATGTGGTCTCTGTGTGGACGAGCACAGCAAAGAAAAGCAGAATTAGTCAACACTGCATTTTTCTGTTAATGTCAAAAAATATCTGCAAAACTCTCTGGATGTCTTATGTTTATACAGAAAGTTCAGAGAGTAACCAAAGAGCTAAAACTTGAACCGCATCAATACTGTTTTACAGTCAAGTCATACTTACTTGTTGTGGCTTTGTCCTGCAAGGCCTCTTGTCTGTAGTCCATGTCCCTTGGGAAACTGTTTGCCGCCATCTTGACTGAGTCTTTCTGTCGTTGTTCCCTGAAGCAAAGTAAACAGACTTTGTAAAGCAACAGGGACAACCAGGCAGGATGCAGGCAGCAGTTACGCTCTGTACCTTCAGCTAATGTTAGTCTCTCAGCTCTGCTGCTGCTGCATGATGGTGTAACGTATGACTCTGCATGACAATGAGATTCCTGTTGCCGATTACTGCCACGTCTAAAATCCGATGGCGTTTCTGTGTGTGTGTGTGTGTGTGTGTGTGTGTGTTAGAACTCGAGTGTGCCTTGCCTCTCCAGCAGGTCCTTGGGCTTCTCCCACTGGGAGACCTCAGTTCTACAGTTGTAGTAGTACTTTTTCCCAGAGGAGCTAATGTGTTCTGTCCAGTCATCTGCCGGGTCCTGGTGCAGAGAGAGGAGACACGGGACATTATAGCACTGTAAAGGCATTATGACCAGCTTAACCCTCCAAACCAAGCAGTTTCTAGGCATTTTATCTTTGCTCATTTGTCAATTTTTAAAAATAATAATATGCCTTTTGAACCTTGCGGCAGGTTTCGGGGTTGAGACGGTTAACGATGAACAACATGATTTTTATTCAACGTGTAAGTCGAGTGCTGCAGTAACAGAAATAGAACATAGCCAGCAGCAATACGTGATGATTTACAAGTAAATGAGGTTAAAGATGCAAACCAAATGGGAAAAAAAAAAAAATTAGAAAGCGTTCCAAAGCTTCACTTTTGGCCCGAATAATTTCACCTTATTAAAATTAACTTTAATCAGAATACCTCAACAGCTCAGTGATTAGCACCGCTCCCTGGTCAGAGGTTTGTGTTCGGCTAAATGGTTCGGAGTTCGATTCCACTGCCTGTTTTAATTTCAGTCCTGGGAAAATTCGTATTCTGATAAGCAAAGACGGCTACAGCGTCCACCCTAGCGTATGCCGTTTGCTCTTTTCATTGCCAACTCTTTGTCAAGTCCTCGCTTCCTGCCCCCGTCGGTGATAATTGAACCGTTCCAGTTGTGTCGGACCAGTGGGTAACGCTGCCATCTCGAAATGCTAAGGTTCAGAGTTCCATCCCTGAGAAGGGCAGCTTGATTAGCTTGGACGCAGATGTTCCTGACAATTGATCCTAAAGTTGGCCTTTGGAAATCATGTCTGCTTAGTACCACAGTCTCAGTGGCAGAAGGCTGCGGGTTCTCTCATGTTTATTAGCTGTAATCTTAAAGAACGACTTTACAGGCTTTTGATGATTATACAATGGAAAGCAGATCTATATGAATTATATCTTAAGATCTTCCACGTTGCCTAGCTTCTGCAAAACTCCTCCAAACCACAGAAAGTTCTTCCTTGTTTTATAAAATGCCTCCACAGATCAAGCCAATCCAATATTACGGCTACAACTAGCCGTTATTTTCAGTGTTGATTAATGTGAAGTTATTCTCCAGATTCATTAAATGGCTGCTTAGTATATAACATGTCAGATAACGGTGAAAGATGTCGAGGACGGTTTCCCAAACCCCAAGATGATGTCCTCAAATGTCTCGTTTTGTCAACAAGCCAAAGATATGAAGTTTAAAATCATAGAGGAGTAAAGGAACCAGATAATAATCATATTTAAGTGTCTGAGATCAGAGAATTCGGCCATAACAGGTTCATCTATTACCAGAGGTGATGGAAATTAATGTAAACGTTGACAACTAATTGATGAATTGTCGCAGCTCTGTCCAATATCAGCAGAAACAGAAAGTAAAGCTTTCTCGGCTATGCTTTTTTTCCTTTTTGAATGACAGGGACTAACGCAGCCCTTTTTCTCGGTTTCCTCTGCTTGTAGACCACCAATTTCAACAATAATTGCACCTTTCAAGTGCATAGTCTAGCTTCATAACACAAGTCCGTTTCCAGCAGTGAAATTCCTCTGTGAGCTGTACGCAATCACACCTGCCTTTTCTCCAGTAAACACAGCTCTTCTGGACTCTGTGCACTGTTGAAGCAGCAGCAGCAGCTTTTGCATTTTGTAGAAACAACTTGAAACTGGAGCTGAACAATTAATTTGTTTTACGCAGGACTCAGGATGGAAACCGTTCACTGTGTCAATGATTTAACAATCTCATGCCATCGTCCTTGTGTGACAGTTCCACCTCATCAATGACATGTTTTCATTGTATGACACATCCTGATATTTGCCAATTACAGATTCATTAAGCCTTACTTGAGGCAATGCAGAAGTATTTCTTGTTTTTACATGGATATAGTACACATTAGATAATGAATCATGTTTGTGTGGAAGCATGTTTGCAAGCCTCAGAGGCAAACATCAAAAATTAAAGTAGGACAGTACTCCATTTAAATTGTTTATTCATATGTTTTGGGCAGCCGAGCCTCGTCAGTATACCTGAGTCCGTATACATATTCAGTACGTATAAGTCCCTGTTCCTTTAGTAAGTAAACATCTCTTACTTTCCAGCCTCAATAATGAATAAGGCTTTTCAGTCTAGATGTGAGCTGCTATGTTTATTATTAATGATCATGCACATACTGCCAATTCCAGTCAGGATGTACACGGCTCGCCTCCTCTACGACTGCACAGATTTCAAAACTGGCTGGTGAAGCTTGAGCGGCAACAACACCGAGCTCCATGCTTCTGGTTTTTAGAGAAACGATTAGACGTCATATAAAGAATATTGACATACATAGTGGTAGGATGTAACATCGTATTATTTGGTATTGCTGCTGCTGTCGTTGAATACTTTTGGATTGCATGAATTATAGTTTCCTGACAGAACATATTCGTTGTCGTTTTTGCCATGATAGTAACACAACTATGGTAGAATCTCAAATATTGCAAGCGGCTTTGAATCCTTTGTTGCAGAAAATCTGTTATAAGTTCGTGTACGACCTCCTATCAGAGTCTGTAGTTTAGCACATAGAGCAAATGTCCAACGTGTGCTGGTATGGGTGGCATTACTTAGAGTCAAACCACACAATGTTAAATACTGTGCGTTTGGCCTCACTGCTCGGTCCATCCAGCGAGATATAATAATGCGCTTCTCATTCACACTGACAAACGGAAAATCTTTTAAATAAGGAAGTCTACAATCTAATCAGACCGATCTTAACACTATAAAGGCGGCCCGTTAAATAAATATGAAACTTCAGTCCAGCATTGCTGTTGAGGTCAGCTTGATAAATGACTGCACAGAAAGAGGAAGAAGCCTCCACATAAAGCCAATCAGACGATGTTCCACAGAAGCGTGACTGCACTTTCTACAGGAAACGCTGAGGGTATATTATCAGATAGCTATGGACAGCGCCTTACCCTGTCTGCAGGCTTGCTCTGAGTGGCGTGCGAGTCGGCGCCATGGTGGGAGCTGTTGTTGTGAGAGTTCTCCTGAGGAGAGCCGCTGGTCCCTGCAACAGAGACATTTATCAAGTCACAGAAATGCACAACACTCCACAGAGGACTGAGGGGAGTGTCTCAGCTGTGAAATAAGAACCACCACCTTGACTTGTACTGTTGTACATTTGAGCAGATGACAAAATTATCCAGCTTCACTGTGTTCTCCATGACAGTTTGTAGGTTAAAGTTTTTCATCCAACTCCTGTGTTCTCCAGAATGATTAGTGTATGTAGGATGTAATAGGTTTACACAATATCTCTCAGATCAGCACAAAAACAATGACGACAGTGATGCACTTACATCAGCTGTATACTGTGGTCATGTACTTGTTGATCAATAAAACCACTCGTATGCCACCGCATCCGATGCCACTTTACGGCAACACTGGAATCTTGTTAGTTGAGCCGATAGGAGGTGGAGGATCATTTTAGGAAGATTGGAAATATTAGTAAAGGAGACTGCAAACTATGTTCTGCTAAACTATCAAAAGTGAAATATACTTTTTTTAATAGAAACAGTTTGATAAGAACCAACACGGCACAGAGTTCAAAGGTTTGCTAATGAGAGCAGCAGGAAACAGCAGCAACCCGCTTTGCAGCAAACACTGGAGACGTGAGATAAAATCTCCAGAGACAACCAACAGTCTGCAAAATAACTGAAGCTCGTACACAGCACGTTGCTTTGAAACAGCAGTTGTCAGTTGCAGATGAGATGGGACTTCGTCATCTTCCTCGCATACTGGAGTCCAAGTACGACATTCCCGGTCATCACCACAGAAACCTTACTATCAGGCCTGCATGACTTTGTGAAAAAAAGCCCATCAACAGCCGGTTGTAGGACATGTTGGTGAGGATTTCACTCTACAGAGAATCTCTCTATATGCAAAGCAGTTTTGGGGATTGCACACTGGCTAAGCCACAGCAGGTATGTTTGATGATATGGTTCAGACGGGGAGGGGCATTCAGAAAAGTTCTGTTCACATTGTGATGCTCCAGGACAACCCAAAAAACACGATAAAGGCCATGAGTGATGGCGACTCCCTAGCCTGTCATGTGTCACTCACACCCTCTAGCTAGCTGTTAACAGGGATTGTTTTGATCAGAGAAGTGTTGCAGATGTGGTGGCGGTAGGATTTAAAACAGTTGGGACATTTAAAACATTTCGCATGAGCCCACACCTGCCGATCCAGCAAGAAGTGCCAACCTGCTGGAACTGCATGTACCACCTGCTGCAGCCTTATCAAGCAGCAGCAGCGCTCTGGGAATATTTGGGTCCGATTATAGCAATCTCACCACTCGCCTGTGGACATCTGTGCAAAAGAGGCTATCTGTTCTGGTTCTGTTTGTGAAGTCACAACGAGACTTGAGCTCCTCTGAAGCTTCAGCATCAGAAGATTCCTGCTGTTTATGTGCTTCACAGACTTCTGACCAAAGAAATAGACGAAGGCATCAAAACAGGGAGGAAACCCTTAGCAGCAGGCATCAGGACACGCTGCACTGAAATGGAAAAAACAAAACTATTCAACACTGCAGCTGTGCTTCACCTCAAGTACGGTGGAGATATATGGACGTCTGTGTGTCTGCAGATACCCCTCAAGTACTCATTTTGGTACTCAGCATGGGCAAGTACCTAAATATGCCCTTGTACTCGGTCTGACAAAAAGTGGCATCCATGTATCCCTAAAGAATGCCAAAATTAGCCTTAGAAAATGCTGCTGTTTATCAGAAGACTCCGTGCTTGTTGGTCAGTAAAGCTGAAACAGAACTATTAGTTTACCTGCAGCCTGCCTGAGGCTGCTGCGGGACCAAGCCTCTGTTCTTTCTGTGTAACAACACTTGGAGTTAAAACACATCATTTCATGCATAAGCAAAGCCACCAGACCCAGGCTTACCATTTTTTCCTCTAACAGCATGAGAGGCTTTTGCCTTGCCGTGTCCGGGGTTGTCTCCATGCCTGCTGACAGGACTCTCGTCTGAGCGTCGCAGCATCTTGTAAGGGGGCGTGGGATCCGATGAGCCATCGCGCACCTTGTCGTAACGGTGAAGGCTGCTGGACTGGCTCTTTGGCTGAGATTTATGGGTCTAGGAAGGACAATGCATAACAAATACAGACTTGTAGCGTTGCGTCCGGTCTGATGTCTTTATACTCCTGGAGCAGGAGATGTTCTGATTTCAACTAGTTCATAAAACCCCGTCAGCAAAAGAAACATGTGCACCACAGAAGAAGTATGCTGGCATTTGACATTCTTGTGAAGCTTTGTTTTTAATATAGCTTTGTAAACATAAGAAAACTAGATCACTCCACAGGTCCACTTTGTACAAACTCTAAAAATGTGGCCGTCTAATTTTTGCAATCATTCTCTGAAAAATATCATGCGTGTGAAACATGTGTGACTGCAACAAATACTCAGACTGAAGCTGAAGTTCTCTGTTAAATGTACATCTTAGATTAAGGTGTTTGAACATGATGGTTGAGCAGTGGTCAGGAACAGTGTGAGCCTGATGTGTGGACACAATGGGAATTTAAAATACTGGACAATTACAATACAAACTGGGAGGTTTTGAGGTGGCCATGCAGGTAGATTAGTGGTTTATTTTGTGTCTGAGTGCCATCATTATGGAAACCTGACACACACCATAAAATAGGAACATGAAGACAGGCTTTTGGTTTTAATGGACAGATAACAGACACCTTGATTAGCTACGTTAGTGGAGCGTACTGACAGGTGACAGCTAACAAATTACCCATGTCATACCTGATAGGATTGTGAATCCCTTCTGTCGTTGCACCTGTAGGAAGACACAAAACAAACGTTACAGTCGGTTTGCACCTTCACGGCTAGGCTAGGTTGGTTCTCTTTGCTGAGCAACACACTTTGTGGAGCATATTTAGTTAGCTAATTAGCTACCGCTAGCCAAGTTAGCTTGATTTGCTAGCTTATCAGCAGCGGTTTTTGCGCACATTAGCTAACAGGATAGTAAATAACCGATAATATCCCGATTATATTTTCATGATACACCCTGTACAAGCAGGTTTTAGCATTACCGTGTTGGTTAGCTAACGTTAGTCGACAAGAAATAACCGGAACCCACAGCTAACTAACTAGAGGCAGGCAGTTAGCCGCGCTAGCTAACAGCTAACATCTAAACCGTCAAAACAAGAATTGAGGTGAAGCCTGCGGCTGTATTTTGGCGAAACATTAAGGTTGGCGTTACCCATCGCTGACTCTTGTTGGTTTCCTTGCATACATCACCATGAAGGCCGTGGTGATGTGTGTGTGTGTGTGAGGGGGAACCGTGGCCTCCTGTCCGTCTGCTCTCACAGCTCGTTTCTCTTCAGTCCGTCCGGCCGAACACGCAGCTACAGGTCAGGCACCGAGCAGCAGCTCTGCATAGCGGGTGGTCGTTACTGAAAGCCACCCTCAGCGCATCGTCTGGCATGTAGTTACGGTACGTGCTGGACCCGACCGATGTAGCCGAGCAGAAAGCAGCAGCTGCAGGAGGAAGCGGAGGAGACCGAGTCCCGGTAACGTTTAGCTGCGGACGTCAGGCGACCGCGGACCCTTCAAAATACAGGTTCAATTAGCCGCTATGTCACTTTTATACCGCGGAGCAGATAAAAGCTGTACGGGGAGGAAAATAGAGAATATTGAACAAAACAGAAAAGAATGGTGGAATTTATGTTAGATGGGACAGGATATTGCAAAAATAGAGCCTCCACACCAAACAGGAACCTTCAGAGAACGTTCGCTACAGGTTCCCTGAAGGTTCCCTCAAGGTTTTTTAGGTTGCGTTCCCAACAAACTCTGTCTGTCTTAAAAATAAGAACAAAAATTCTACAAAAACGAGCTGTCTCTTTACACTTTACCTTTTCCTTTGCAATAAACTGTGGCTTTTAAATCTTTTTTTGCTTGTTTGATTTTTTTTTTTTTTTTTTTTTACAAGAACTGTTATTAAACGTTCCCTGAAGGTTCCTTTCCCTTCACAATAAAGTGTGAGTTGTTTTTTTTGTGTGTTTGTTTTGTTTTAAATTATACAAATATTAACTGTCAGGTAATGTTCCCTGAAGATTTGTTTCACTTTCCAATAAACTATGACTTTTATTATAAAATTCTACAAATACTGTCGGGGAACATTCCCTGAAGGTTCCTTTCAACTTATAATAAATGGTGCCTTTTTTAAAAAAAATAAAAATCTTACAAACCTAGCTAACTACTACCTAACTAATGTTCCCTAAAGGTTCGCTTCACTTTAAAATAAACTTTGAGGTTTATTGGTAAATTCTACAAATACTGTTAAGGGAATGTTCCCTGAAGTTTCCTTTCCCTTCACAATAAACTGACTTTTTAAAATAAAAAATCTACAAAAACTGTCAGGGAACATCCTCTGAAGATTCATTTCCTTTTACAATAGACTGTGACTTTTATTATACAATTTTACAAAAACTGACGGAAAATGTTCCCTGAAGGCTTGTATTTATAAAAACTAACTGTTAGGGAACATTTGTTGAAAGTTCCCTGAAGGTTTTCTGGGTTGTGTTTACGACAAATACTTTCTTGTAAAACTCTACCCAAATTAAATGTCATGGAACATTTCCTTAAGGTTCCCTTAAGGGTTTTGTTTGCCGCATCCATTTATAAATTTATTCAAAACAGAAACCTCTAGGAAACCTTCAGGGAATGTTCCTTAATAAAGGCTCCCTTAAAGTTTCTATCTATCTATCTATCTATCTATATATATATATATCTATCTATCTATCTATCTATCTATCTATCTATCTATCTATCTATCTATCTATCTATCTATCTATCTATACCAGATGACACTAAGTCCCCCAGTGCTCAGTTTTAGTTTGGGTTTAATTTTCTATTTTTATAAATAACATTGGGAAGGGGATGCCGACAGCCAAAGTGCATCTTTATGCAGATGACGACACCGTGTATTCAGTTGCCTGGTGTGTGAGCCAGGCTGCTGATGAGCTCCAGACTGCATTTCAACAGTTGCAGGCCTCACTGCAAGACTTAAGGTTGGTTCTGAATTCTAAGAAAACCAAATTTCTGATCTTTTCCAGAGCTCGCTCCCAGCTCTCACATATTGGTAGCATTCAGACTTCATTTGAGGACTTAATTGAACAAGTGTCTTCCTTAAAGTACTTCAGTATCTGGGTGGGTGATCAGCTTTCCTTTACGAATTGAGCATCAAGTGACAAAGGTTACAGGCTGAGTTTTTATTATCGAAATAGGGTCTGCATTAATTTAACAGTGAGGAAAACCCTGATACAGGTGATGGTCTTCAGTGTTTTAGACTGTGGGGGCGTTATGTGCACACCTCCACCTGTACTCTTCGCTGCTTTTCGCTGTTTTTCCAGGTTGCAGGTGCACAGAGAGTAAAACTGGATTTTCCAGCCCCTGCAGCATAATCCAACCATTTGCATGCTCAGGGAACACGTTCAAAGAAAGTAATGAGGTACTGTCAGAGGGTGATAAAACCAGTAAGATCCTTTTAAATAATTAAAATCCAGTGTCTGTAATGCCTTAGGGCCACCCAACTGGAGCATACAGCTCACAGTGGGGTCATTCCATATGAAAATATTCCACCTGGCTCTGCTTGTGAATGTAGTTTATGTGTGTAAAATGGAGAAATAACACGGGTGTTCACATTTAATATATAATACCTTGAACCAATCACACAGATCAAACAAGACTAGAGCTTTCAATGCTTGTTTGAGAGTCTTTCAAAATCAAAATGTGGACAAAGTTAGGCCTTTCATTTGCTACTTGTTTTGACCAACCACCCTTTAAAGTTGACCTAAGATTCAGACACAAGCATAGATTTCAATGGTGGTGCAGGGAATGAATCCTCCCTTGCATGCATTTGTGCCACTTCAACAATAAAGAAATACAGGACTTTTATTTTGAAAAATCACTGCACCGATTACTCACTGTGGCTGGATTCTGTATTACCCTTTACACAAATAAAGACATTCTTATTAGAAATGATGCAGAAAATATGTATAAAAATTGACCAGAATGCAGGAACAAGGAGTTTGATTCCTAACATAAATCTAAAATTATATCTTTTATAATATTGTGACATTTTTACAAAGTGACAGATACAAATATTATTCTAAAAAAAATCTGTATTTCTACTTTTTTTGTTAAAAGCAAAGAATTCCTGTTGTCATGGCTCAACCTAGTTACAGCAACAAGTGTGAGATTCTCCCTCGTCACTGTGGCAGCGCTACATCTGGGCTGGTGTTTTGATCTAAGTATTGCCGGTATTATCCAGCTGTCTGTGGACAACACGAGGCAGCTAGTTAGAGCTGTGAGGACGCCTCCTCCTGGGACACATTCTCTTTATGGATCAGTGACATGAACATTTTGTCCTCTATGAACAGATCACAACGGTCTGGGCTTTTCTCATTTCTCTGGTGACTTTTTAAAAATTGTGGTTTGTGGAGAACGAGACACTGTAAATACAAAAGTGACCTACACTAACTAACTGGAAGTTCTCAGGCAGTTTCTGAACACCTTCCACTGAACTGGACTCTGTGAGGCCAGGATTCATCTGTCTGCTCAGCATCACCCACACCAAGGGGCACAAAGTCTTTTTCCAGTAAATCTCTGAAGGCCAAATAGACATTTTTTGCTCACTTGCTCTTATCATGTGCAGGAAAAACTGCAATCTGCATGAGTACACGTGTTTTTGTAGCTTTTTTTTTTTTTAACGTAGGCTGACCTCAGCTGACTGTAAATCTACAATAGTTGCAGAAGTTGTGCCCTTTTTTTGGTTGAAATTCTCTTTTTATTTAATTGAAAAAGCAAATGATTGTAGTTCCAAACACATCTTGTTTACATCACTAAAGACTTTCTGATATTTTCATTTTTTACATCACTTGGAGCGAGCCATTTGTAATTATCTTCACAATATTAGAGTTAAATACGAAGAAAAGTAGATGAAGGAAGCTGGTGGTATCTACTCACAGGTAAATTCAAGTAAAATCACACCTTGTGGGTTTATGTACTCAGTCCATTTAGTCCAGATCTGATAGAACTTCTCTCTTTTTGGACCTTTAAGGAAAAGGTCGACTTTCACACACTTAACCTCATGTACAAAGTCAGTCCATTCCTCAGTGGTGCTGGTTCTACTTTTAACCATTTTCTTGTGATTTTTCATTTTTTTTACTTGTTGCCAATAAAATACCAAGTTCCTTCTTGTCTTTAATATTTGAAGTTATGCCTTTTTAATAGTTGATAAAGCTACAAGATAATGACATTACATAAGACAAGTACACTGAAAAGACAAATGGTAAAAATGCAGTTATTCCACAAACTTTCCTTGTATTGTTAATTTACAGATGATACCGAGTAAAATCATAGAAATAAGTATTCATTTACACATTAGCTGGAAAAATAAAATAAAATGTAATTGGAAAAAAAGAGGCCAAAGTTGTACTTAATGTCCAAATCAAAAATCTGTATCATTTTTTTTTCTTATATGTTTGGCTACAAAGATACACCATTTTTACTATATTGAAATAGCGAGATGACAAAGTTTACATCCCTCAGACCCGTGTGGAGCCTTTTACACTCATGGAAGAGGAAAGTTGAACACCAGTCTGTGTCCATTCAGCCTTCAGTGTTTTTCATTTGGGTTCTGAGTCGGTCTTGTTTCCAGAACTCTACCAGGCAGGTTTCATCCCTTCAGTCTCTAAGAGTCTCTACAAGAGCTGCAACTGAATCTGAACCTAAATCATTCACACGTTTACTGATAAAACAGGTACAAACACATTCTTTATCAACATATAAATGCCTTTATGTTTTATTTTTTTATTTGTCAGTTTTTGTTTGTCTTGTTGTTGTGTTCTTGCTTGATTTGTAAAACGTCTTTGAGTGTCTTGAAAAGCACTATTAAGTATACTACTAATACTAAGCTACTAAGTATTTGTATTAAGGTCGAGCATCCCCGCGACCCTAGTGAGGATTAAGCGGTGTACAGATAATGGATGGATTATTATTATTGTTATTCTATCCATCCATCATCTCTACACTTTAATCCTCACTAGGGTCGTGGGGGGCTGGAGTCTATCCCAGCTGACTCAGGGTGAAGGCAGGTTCACCTGGACAGGTAACCAGTCTATCACAGGGCTACACTTAGAGACAGACAACCAAGCACACTCACATTCACACCTACAGACAATTTAGAATCACCAATTAACCTCAACATGTTTTTGGACTGTGGGAGGAAGTCGGAGAACCTGGAGAGAACCCACGCTGCCCGGGGAGAACATGGAGACTCCACGCAGAAAGATCCCGGGTGTCCTCACTGGGACGCTCCACCTTGCAGCCCTGTATGGGAACAAATGTAGACAAATGTTTCTGCAAAAAAAAATCTGCTAGAACAATTGCAGTTACTGGATGGCTTCAGCTCAGATCTCCAACAGGCTTCATTACTGGTGATGTGGGGAGGCCGAGGGGGTCAGAGTGTAGTCTGTGGGGGACCAGGTCACCCCAGGTCACCCCAGGTCACCCCAGGTCACCCCTGGGCTCTGTCCCTGCTGCACAGAGCAATCCCACTGATACCCAGCCTGAAATCAATGAATAGTGGTCGCCTACTATCTAATGCTGAGGTAAATCCAGCTTCTACTGGGTTTAACAAATGCCCTAATAGGTCCCCATAAAACCCAAATGAAAATGTAAAATGTGTAAAATAGGAACAATTAAAAAGAATCAAACACTGTGAACTGCTTTAAGACAAAGGAACAAAGAGGCTGCAGGTCCATGTAACCCTCTGTAGCTCTTCAGTCCAATTAAATGTGAGTGACGGTTTTCCTGCAGTCACGTGTGCAAAGTGTTACAGGTCAACATTACGCTCTTCAATTTCCATGTTGCGATTTGTGTATCGATCGGCCGCTGGCTTGATTTAGGTCAACCCTGACACATATTGACTGAATAAGAGGCAGCCTTTTTTTCTTTACTATCTGGCCAGTTGAACATTTCTACAACCTCTCGCTGCGAGTGGATGTTTAAATGCAGCTCGTAGCGTTTGGATGTTGAGCATCAGGGCCCGACTGAGCTGGGCCTAACAGGAATGGACTCGGTGGTGAGTGCACTTTTGTGTTGTTTTGCTAAGCAATTATAATTTGGTTTTCTACTTTAGCAATGTGGGAATTGCAGAAAAGTAACCTCTCTGTGCTGCAAATTAGGTGTAATAGTCGATACTTGCTCATTATCATCCACAGGGTTTTTAAATAGCCGTGGAATGCTAAAATAATTCAAATTGTGGCCTGGATATTGCCCTCTAGCTGTGCTAATACACACAAAATGGATGCATTTGGGGTACAAACTTAGAAATAAACCAGCTAATATTAAATTTATCATCAGATTGGAGCCATTTTGAAAAGCTGATCCTCAAAAAAAGAGTGTACAAGCTAACCTTCAATAAATGTTTATCTTTTTTCTAATGCGATGGAGAATCATTGTAGTAAATACTGATTAATAAAACATGCAGAACTTGAACATTTAATGCAACCAAGAGAAAAAAAAACAATGGTTAATACTAAAGAACATTTAAACCTTTATTGATTTCACATTGTTTCATGGATACTGGAGCAGAAATGTTTTAATAGAAATATCCCATCCCAGCAATAGGGGGCAGTGATATCTCAGAAGAGGCACGCAGCATGTGAAAAACAAATTAAATTCTTTCCTCTCATGCTCCCTATTCCCCCCTCTCTCATTAAAATAAAATAAAAAGACAAGGAAAGCAAATAAGTGGTGTGATTCTGCCGGGGTGTCATTATTTGTTCGAGCTTCTCAGATTGAAGCCGAGCCGAGCTGACCGCAGAGGTGTAATCAGGGGATGCAGATTATTACTGTACAGTTACATCATCATAATGAATACGTGAGAAACCTGAGAAGAGATGCTTTTTATTCCTTTACCTTCAAATTAAAAAAAATAAATAAAATAATGAGTGAAGCTTCCCTGTTAATGCTCATTTATTTGACCTCTCACCTCTGCCTCCTGCTTCCTGACCTCATCCTTCAGCTGGAAATGCAGAACAGATGCAGGTGAAGCGCTCTTTAATATTCTTATATATTCATTCTCCAGGTACATGCAGGCAGCTTTCACCAGTGATGTCTGGAACAGAGTCTCACGTCGACAGAGAAGAGGACTACAGGTTCCTCCACAGCATGTTGATGGAGAGGAAGATTCACATGCTGTTCAAGGTGAAGCTCTGGTTGTTGATGTATTTAATATGCAGAGGTGGATTCATCATTTAAATCCTGTTTTTGGCATTTTAAAAACTGCATCGCAAGGAAAAGTGCTGAATTTATGACTTAAGTAAAGATAGAAAAAGTCAGTAAAACTGCCTGATAGCATGAACGTTTCAGGAAGAATGAGTCCAGAAGGGGTTCAGCTATTGTATATTATAATAATGACTTAGTGACACTAATGCACTTCAGCGTTGCAGCTTGTCAAGACGTTTTTTTTTTTTATAGTTTAATGTGCAGGATAGTTTAGTCTACAGCTATGAATCATGTTTCACAAAATTATGATTCAGTTTGTGGAGTAACTCAAGTACAAGCAGCTCAAACTCGATTATGTTATGAAATACATTCACTCGCTTGATGAAATTTTCTTACTTTCCAGCCGTGCTAACAAACAAGGAAAGATCCGTATGAATAAACCAGGATGAGCTGAATTCAACAACAAACAAAAAAACAAGGAAGCCTGTTGCATTTTTTTAAATAAAAATGTAAGTAATAATGTACTGAAAACATGCATCTAACCTAAATACTTAAAGGGCAATTGTTGTTTTAAGTCCAATACACTAAATGGAATATAGATTTACCTTAAAATCTTCTTTATTGTTACTTTATGTGCTTTAATTAAGATATATTTTAATTACCTCACTTATCCTCTTAAGTTTAAGTGGGAAAAACATTAATTTCCAATTTTTAGAAATAATAACAGACTATTTTCTCAAAAATATGATTTATTATTTCATTATTATGACACGGAAAGACATAATCTTGGCAACTGAAATGATAAATATGAAGAATTTTCACATTATTAAGTTACACTGGAGACAAATTATGTCATCATTAAGAGAAATAAAATCAGACTTATTTGATACAAACTCATATTTAGAAGCTTTCTCAGCATTATGACAAGCTCTGTGTCTTCAAGTGTTGGAAAGCGACTTGTATAAAACAAATAGTTGTCTTAAGGACTAAAAATCTTAAAACTATTTTACCTGAAGTTATTCAGATTAATCTAAATATGTCGACAAAATTAGTAAATGTAATTTTATGTGATAGTAACGCAGCCAAACTTCAATAATTTAAGTACACTGTAAATCAGTTGTTTATGAAATCCTGCCTGATGATGTGTAATTTAAATTAATTCACTTTAATAAATGCAAGAAATGTTACTTAATAAATTTTTTAAAAGGATGTGGTCTAGCTAAGTCTTTCAATAAACTCTTTTTTAATCTTGTAAATATAAATAATTCTCTGTCTTCCTGTTTATCTCCCTTCTCCAAACTACCCGTGTTGATGGTACTGGTGGCAGTAACGGTAGTTGCAGTGTGAGTAGGAGCAGTGCTTGATAAGTACTTCTGCAGAGCAAACCTTTATTATGATCCTTCCCTGTCTTGACAGATCCACGAGCGGCTGAAGCGTTTCGAGAAGCGAAGCCCCGCCCCGGTCCGGGAGGACTCATCCAGTCTGGCCTTAGATGTAAGTGACTCCCTCCAAACATCTTTAGCAGACGGACCGAGAGCCGTACGGATGACTTTCCTGTTACACAGAAGCACGAGTGGAACGTACATTCCTTCCTAAGTCTGCTGCACAAGGAAATGTTATCTCAAAACTCCTCCGATGTTGTCGGCTGTTTTCTACCTGATATCGTTGTGTATCTGAGTTGAGGTCACCGAGGGCGAGCGACGGGCTGCTGAAACCATCTTGTGTGCAGTTCCATGTTTCAGGTTGCAGGGACACAGTTCATTTTAGATTTAACGTGAAGCGACGGAGCGCTCCTGCTAAGAATTTCACCCAAAATAGCACCTACAGTCTCCGTGCATCATATTTAATATCCCACTAATAAATCCATGTCACCACCCTGTCGTTCTTTTACTTTATTCACCCGTCCCACCTTAATTTGCTGATTTTCCCTCCTGGACAAAGTGCAAGGCAGGGATGTTCTTTTTACTTCCATGTACTCGCCTCTCCGACCTCAAACCGCGCTTCCCTTCCATTGTCTTCATCCTTTTCCTTCATCCTCTCCCTACACACTGCGACCGCTGCCATGTTTCCATAGCGTCTCTCTCCCCCGCTCTCCTCTCCATGTCCTCGCCTTCAGTCCCTTTTGCTTTAGATTCGCTCCGACAGCCACTCTCCGCCTGGCTTAAATCATCAGGACCTACTGGAAGGGCCAAACCGTGGTTCTGTTTCCCCTCAGAGAGGCTTCTGTTTGCTCACAGTGGAAACTAATGACCTTCATGCATTGTGTCTCTGGAGTGTGCCTCGACATCTTGAAGCAGTAGAAGTCATTACAGTAATATGCTTGACAAGACGGGCGACTGCACACAGTCACTCGCCGCCTCTCCACTTGCTGCTGACGGTCAAGGCTGCTCTCTGTTTTTGCTGTCACCACAGCTGTCGTGTTGCCTTGAACATTTTTCCGACAGCGGCTACAGACACAAAACCAGAGCAGGAACACTGACAAAGAGCTAACATCGAGACGAGAAAAGTCCCAACGAGGCGATCGGGGTTATACATATGAAAGTGTGGGTCATAAGAAATAATGACGGTGCTGATGATGTGTCACATAAGCGTATAAATATATAAGTTGAGTTGCACCCTTTGTCTGTCTCTCTTGGCTCAACAAACCTCACTTGATATAAATGTATACCTCTAATTATTAATATAAAAAATACATCCTGCCTCTCTGTCTCTTTTTCTCGGCTTCCAGTTGGCAGAGGAGCTGATGAACCAGGGCTGGGGGGATGAAGTCAAAGAGCTGTTTGCCCTCCTTTCCAAACCCCACTTTAAGGTGAAAAGTATTTCCCTCCACATCTATCTGGTGTGTTGCTGTCCGACCCAACGCTTCCCCAGCCGAGTGCTTTTTTTTTGTGACCGGTCTGGTAATTTCAACCAAAGGAAAACACCACACTTAAAAGAAATGGTTTGTCATTTAGCTTTATTCCTGAGAGTTAACAGAGAAGCTCGATGCTGTTCTCTTGTATGATAAATACGAAGCTACAGCCAGCAGCCGCTTAGCCTAGCTTAGCATAATGGTTTTTGTCATAATCATCGGCAGTGCTGCAATTGCAATAGACTGGAGTTCTCCCATCAGACTCCAAGTGGACTAGAAAACAGCATAAGGCCAGTGCTACGCTTTCTGAGTCTGTGAGTTCACCAGAGTCCGCTTGACGTCAGCTTCGTCATCGACCTAAAGGCCCTTTCAGTCAGAATGTGGTTTGTGTGGTTTGCACATAGTTAAGGTTTAACAACATCTTGTGATGGTGAATGTATTGTCAAGGCTTCACACAGTTTGGTTTTGTTCTTTTTGATTTTTTACCAATTATACAATCAATACACAACAACTAGCAAACTAATTCAACAGGTGTCCCCTTCAGTTTTCAGTCTAAGCTAAGTCAAAATTCTGCAATAGCCTAAATATATTTTTAAAGACGCTCCATACCACTGTCTTGAACGATAAATGTGAAGCTACAGCCAGCAGCCTGTTAGCTTAGCATAAAGACTAGCGCGTAGCAGCTAGCTCAGGAGACTCTTTGTAAAGCCAGAACTTAAGCTCTTTATGTTTCTTTAAGTTTGTGATACAAACAAGACGAGTAGTTAAACAAGCTGTTTCCCAGCTACTCTAGTCCAATTTGTGACAAAATGCTGAATCAGGTTTGTTTTCTATTTAGGAGACAGATATGAGAGTCTAGTCCAGTACTGAGCTGTGTCATTAAACAGCAAAACTCCGCAATAGCCTTAATCATTTCAAAAAGAAATAATTCAATTTCATTTGTAAACCAAACATTCTTGCGAGTTGCTTCCTTTTATTTTCAGTCCACTTTCTTGCTAAGCTTCAGAAGCTTGATACCACTGCCTTGCTATGGCCAGCAGCCTGTTAGCTTAGCATAGCTAAGCAGCAAGCTCAGGAGACTCTCTGAAAAGCTACAACTGAAGCTCTTTATGTTTCTTTAACTCTGTGACACAAACCAGTTATGACAACAAGTTAAGCAGTAAAACAAGCTGTTTCCGCGCTCATCTAGTAAATAAACCAGCAAAACGTTGACTTTTGTCTCCTTCAGAACCAGTCATACTGTCTGTTAAGCTGCATTTTTTTAGTCCAGTTTCTTGCTGAGAGTTAGGCAAGAAAGTCAGTACAGCTCTTATATCTGTCCATCAACAGGTACGGTTAGCTTAGCTTAGCATAAAGACAATTATTCTATGCCCTGACTGCTAGCTGTAGCTTCCTACTGAACAGACAGATAATAGAAACAGCGAAAAGCCTGCAAATAGAGTAAACTAAGAAAAAAATTAATCCCATTTGCAAACTGGACATCCTTGCTAGCTGTGGACACCACGCTAATGCACAATAAATATGAAATAATTAACTGATCGCTAGCAATAGCCTCTTATTTAACAGACATATGAAAATCTAGTCTAACCGAGTGTCATTAAATAGCAAAAACACAACAAACAAAAACGGTTTAAAACTTTTTTAGTTCGCTTTCCTGCTGAGAGTTTGTGTGAAAATAAACTCAGTGTTAAGTTCATAGGTTCTAATCATCTACTCAGTGTGTTGACTCATTTTTAGGGAAACAAACTGTTGATGTATTTTCAGATTCCAGCTGCTTTCACTGATGTGATGTGTGTTACATATGTTGGGTCAAACACAGAGACCTCAGGCCTTCATGGGGAATGTGGTTTAATTGATACAGTGAAGAACTGCATAAGTGAAACTTAATGAATCTTCAAAACGAGCCAATGGAAAGAGAGGTTTGTGTTTAATGTCATACTACGAAGAAGTTGTCACTCCACTCCTCTGAGACACAAGTTCTGCCTCTCTCTCTGTTTTGCAGTAGATTCAGTTTTACCAATGACCAGCTGTTTCCTGTATTTTTTAAGGTCTTAAGAGTCGTAGCGGTTTTTCCATGACATCAGAAAATCAATACTGCTCTCATATCTGTTGTTTAAATAAGAAAGCTTCAGCCAAGGGACAGTAGGCTTAGCGTAGCATCAAGATTGGGAGCAGGGGGGGAAACAGAAAGCTCTGCTCCACAGGTTAAACAAATACGCACAACTAAAAGCCAGAATCTGTTGTTTTGACATATCAAACAAATCAGATATAACATGCCGGTGTGTGGATTTTGTTACCCTTCTAGCTTTCTGTTTACCTCCTAACAAGACGGTGAGTGATTGGATCTCCCTGTAACATTACTGCAAACACAAGAATGGCCTAACTTGTGAAAGACTGACCTTTTCTACGGCTTGTAATTCTGATTTGCATGGACAGTTTTTGGATCCATTTGGAAGATGTTGCTCTTCTACCTTCATCTGCTCCAGTTCTTCCCTTTAAATGCACCTATAACAACAAAATGACCCCACTTATGAACGGCGTAATTACACGTTCATCCACTTGACACTGGAGCCGTAATCCGAGAGGCCTATTTCCATGCAGTCAGCTTCATCGCAGCTATTCTAAATTCGCTCGGACGGCCCAGCGCTGGAGCTCACACACGCATCAAAAGGCTTACAGCATTTCCTACAATCCGCTCTCGTATGATTCACACAAAGTGGCAAATTAATCCAACTGTAAATTTTATTTAAATTGATTTCACCTCATCATTTTGCCCGCTGAGAGGTGCTGACATCTATTAACCGCACTGGCACTGGAGCTAATCTACTCCCGAGTTATGTTTATTAGTGTGCGCTGATGTCGAGGCCCAGACTACTCAAATGCGCGTTTCCTTATTTCAGATCTGCTGACAGTGATTTTTTATTATTTTTTTTCTTAGATGCACACACACGTACATGCACACAGCATATGGTTTTCCAGTGAACTGCAGAAGTCGTGGCTTTTTTTTTACTTAATGAGGAGCCGAAGCCAGCCGACAACCAACAGGTTTGTTTAAACAGCCCTAATGACCTGTTTGTTCTTGGCCACGGCGCAGCGGCTCACACATACTTATGAGAGACACTGGCTATAATATTCTGTAAATGAATGTTTGTTTTTTTGAAAACGTGTCTCTGAAAGTGGCCAGAGACACATTGCTCACGCGCTGGCAGCTTCTGAGCAGAGCAACTGTTGATGGACACGAGGATAACAAGTAGACTAACTGACAGATGGATTGGCTGATTGTTAAAATTAAGTTGATGAGCAGATGTTTCCCCTTCTTCTCATTCTTTATTATTACAGTAAATTCCCTTTTTTGGGGGGAGAAAAAATGTACTTTGTGCAGGCTCACAGCGAGAGATTATCCTGAATATTGTTTTTCTGCAAACAAAAACTGAGGGTCGTACGCTGCCAGAGTTAACAGAAAAAAAAAAAAAAGAGCTTAAATGAACTGTCTGGAAATTGATAGTGAGTCATAGATCAATTTGCAGTCCTGCACTGTGGAAGAAGTCTTGAGCTTGAGCGAAGCCAGGGGACTGCAGGCGGAGGTGGTGTTGGTGATGTGGGGGGTTGCTTTCAGGTGGCCCGCAGGCTGGCAGCGCCATTCAAACTAAATCAAATCGGGCATGTTGGCGCTGGACGGTTCGTGACCAAGTAGAAAGTGCTGCCTTTGGATTGAGTCGGAGCGCAGGAAGGCCGGCCAAACTTGTTGGAATTTTTGCGCAGCCTAACTTTTTAGTCACCTCCAATTAGTCTCCGGGGACTGGTTGCTTTATTGTATCGCTGTCTAACATTTCTAAAGTTCCAGTTAATCATCTTCAGCTGATCCGCTTGGTCCAAGAACGTCACCTGCGCTGGTGAAATGTGGTTCTTCTGCACCGCTCCGACCAGAATGAACGCCGTCAAACCAACAGTTTTGCAGTAATTACGCTGATGTTTGTTCACAGTGTTGAATTTTGCAGCCAACTTGTCTATTTTCATTACGCTCAAAGGACGTGTTGGCCGGAGACGTTTTGTCTGTGCAGTGTTAGGTTAATTTAAGGATTCTCAGCACAGTCTGTTATCGGGATCTGAGAGCTCAGCGACTTACATCTTCACTGTATTTCCTTCACAGACTCTCTTGAGTGTCCACGACGCTGTGGCTCAGAGAGACTTTGAACCTGCTCTGCCACCGGTACCTGACGACGCACTGGACGACGACGAGGATTCGGTCAAAATTGTCAGTTTGGTCAAAACAAACGAGCCCCTGGTCAGTATCCACTCAACAAAAGTCAAGACAGACATGAGAGGAATGTCATTTGACTCTCCCCAGTGAGCATTTCTCTGTTGAGTAGATGTTCAAAGTTCAAGTATGGACACCAGTTGATTGAATATTTGAACATTTAGACCATATTTCCAGGTGAAAACTTTCATCCTCTATTGTGCAACTTATAGCAGATCGCTATTTTGGAGGCTACCCAAGAACAGCAAAACAAAGACCTAACAAGGAGGAGCAATAAGAAGAACAATAACCTACTTAGTTAACCAGCTGCTGCTAAAAGATAAACACACACCACAGCCTTGTACTCCTCAAACTGAAAGGTCAGAGGGCACATTTACCCTTAAAAGCTGTAACTCCAAAGTTGTTCAGCATGTACTGCCTCCATTACAATACAACTTAAGGGCGGCTGTGGCTCAGGTGGTAGAGTGGGTTGTTCTCCAATCACAAGGCTGGTAGTTCGATTTCCTGCTCCTCCACAGTCGAAGTGTCATTGGGCAAGACACTGAACCCGAAGTTGCTCCCAATGGCAGGCAGCTCCTTGCATGGGTGAGTAAGAAACACATTGTAAAGCACTTTGGATAAAAGCACTATACAAGTGCAGACCATTTACGATGTCCTGGAAGCTTCTCATTCTCATCACAGCACGCAATCTGTATGGTAGAGATCCATGATTTGGGAAAAATATCTAATTGTGAGAGTGCCATTTGATTTGAAATATATATTAAATATATATTACAAATTATAGCATTGAGACCCTGACAAAAGGAAGGCGGCGTGAATCGGTAAATCCATTCACCAGACAGTTTAAACCTTGGGTCAGGTACTCTGTATATTCTAAGTCCTGCGATTTGCTAATTGAATTACTGCACATTTCAATTCTGATTTGGAATCAATTCGCTGTTCAGGCCTACTATTTAGGACATTATATACTAAACAATGAATGCCTTGGAATGACACGTCCCTGTAGACCACATTTCGCCGATTACTGCAGTATGACCTCAGGGAAAAAATCTTTACACTGATCAATATCGTCTCTCTTTTGACCTACAGCTGCACAAACTATCAAAGTGATCCAACAAATTTGGGTTTTTAGACAAGTTGGTGCTGTGAGTGCATTTTATCTAGTTGAGAAGGCGAAAAGCTCTTAGGCATTCAGATTTAACCCTGTTCAGGACTTTTGGGGTCTTCTGGACATTTGGTTTAGGTGACTGGTATTGTTTTTTTATTTTTGCAGATTTTTTTTAATTATAAAAAGAGGGACATTTGTCATACATTTGGAAGCTTATCAGTATTAGTATAAAAGTCTATAATGAATACCAACAAATATTTTGCACGTATTCTTTCTTGGGGTTCAATGAACCCCAAAAGACCTTCTACATATGGAAACATGAAAGTCCTAAATAGGTTTTAATATCACACACCAGATCTGGTTTGTGCTCACTGGGTTGGCAGGAAAGCAAACAAGCATATTTCATTTTGAAATAATTCTTTAAAGGCAAACTAAAGAAACTTAAGTGTTGGATTTATGTGATGGATTCATACGGAACCAATGTGGTCAGTTTGCAGGCGGGACCTTCTGTATCCTTATTCTTCTTCAGAATCAGTTTCTGGCTTGAAGATGTTTGGCTGAACTAATCCAATATTACAGGCAGAGTCACAGGTGAGCTGGTGTGCTCAAGCTGCAGTGGTTAGAAAGAGATAGGAACTTCACAGATCCACACATTTTAAAACAGTGAAGAGTTCCATCTGAGCCATTTTGATGCAGAAAAGGTTGATTTTCATGTAAAAAAAAAAAAAAAAAAACCTTCTGAGTCTGTAACTGATGCACACAGATGAGTTTTTAGGGGTTAAGTCGTTCACCGCAGAGGGCCTTGAAAATCTGACATTCACAAGTTACAAAAACACGAGCACCAAACAGTGAATTCCTTCTGTTGCTGTGCTGCATACCAGCCTGTTTCGAATAGAAGCTACCTGTTCCTCATAACCAACAGGAACGCAAGCACTGAAGTTTAAACAACCATGTAACAAGGCAACTGCGCTTAAAAATATGTAATTTGTCCCACCGCCATAACTGACATGCACCGGCGGCTTCAAGCCATGAACATATCCAAGTTGAATTTCTCTCTGGAGACTGAGTTTATGTCATGTTGTCAAGCGGCGTGACTGCTAAATCCACGTATGCCAAGGTGTAGCAAGACGAAAGCCTTTGACAGGAAACACGACAGGAAACTTCAGCGAATGTTCCCGCCGCAGCCTGGATCACCTTTGCCTCTGGGCTGCGACTCTGGGCCGCTTTCTTAAACCAGGAATTTACTGAGTCAATTATTCCACATCTTTGTTGCCATATATCTGCCGTAATGCACAACATAGCTTCGGCATTGTTGCGTGTATGCGTGCGTAGCGTGTACCTACAGTGCATCAGTGCAAAAATTATGCCTCTTGTTGAAGTATTTAAAGCAGCGCCGCACGTTTAAAGGGATCAGGATGATTTCTTTTCTGTTTCTCATGTAGATCAACTGGTTTCAAGGTCTTCAATCATAGCTCATTTTCTTGATGCTACTGGAATGGTCTGCGTTATTCCACCTTGTTCCATGTCATTGTCACTTATTTCAGGAAATTTCCTGGATCAAGACAAACTGGACAGAAAATCAGCAAGACTACAAAGAATGCGTACCTTCGCCAATGCCCCAAATCCTCCAAATTTGTTTTCTTAATGATGAAAAAAAAAAAAGTTTTTCTTAGCCGCATTTGGATCAGGAGCAGCACAGAATGCACACAGTGGTGAAAAGCCACGGGGTACATGTGCCAGATTTGTCCCAATCAAGTAGGCCCAAGAGTTTATTAGAAAAATAGCAGAAATATTGAAAAGTGCCCTCGAATGCAAGGTTAAAATTCCTTTTAAAAATTCCTGGATCCACATCAAAAATTAGGCATTTGTTTTTTTTACCCCGTGGCTTTACTTTCCAACTAATTTCAGTGAAAACTGTTGACAGGTTTTTGAGATATCCTGCTCACTAGAAAACAAACATGCCAAAAATGTAACCCTCATGGCGAGCATGGGCTTAATCTTTTTTAAGAAAAATATGATTTGGGGTAAATAATGGAATCATTTACTTAATGGACAATTCTGCAGTGTGTGTGTGTGTGTGTGTGTGTGTGTGTGTGTGTGTGTTTTAGTGGCTGGGCTTCCAAAAGGCCCTTTTATACCAATAATGGGGAACATACTTTTGTATTGATCCCAAAACTAGATTGGAAGGGGACTGACCTTTTTCTGACATGCTCTCTTTGATCGATCCAGCATGTTCCCGTTTTCCAGACAACGGGGTTACACCCGAGCATGAGCTGATTGTAGTCAACTACATAAGATGCTCTTTCCATTGCGATTTACTCCACATCAATAACATATGCTGAATATAAAGCTGATTTGGATAACCCTTTCCAGCGCTTTGTGTGTTACATGAAGGCAGCCGGCTAAACGGTCCCGTCCCGATACAAATAACCTTCGCTGGAATGAAGCGGCTCTAAATAAGAAGCTTGTCTGGGCTGTAATAAAACCAGCATGTTATTTTCGCTCTCCACAGTTTGACCTCTTTGTCTCTCTTCTGCTTTGTCCGTTTATTCGCTAATCGCCATCCTCAAGGGGGCAACAATTAGGAGGGATAAATCCACCGGGGCAATTTTTGTGGCACGAATCATGAGAGGAGGTGCAGCCGATAAAAGCGGTAAGCTGATCAATTAAATTATGCTTCCTTTAAACCTCACTGTACGTTCTGGTAACATTGCAATGGTGCACGTGAAAGCAGAGCATATTTTCCATGTGTATTTCCAATGCTTCGAAGGCCTGATCCATGAAGGAGACGAACTTAAAGAAGTGAACGGCGTCTCACTGGAGCACAGGAAGCCAAAGGAAATCCTTCCTCTACTGGTTAGTCTCACTTCTACCACTCAGTCTCACAGCGCCTCCTTCCTCCTCCCGCTCCAAACCTTTTCCGTCCTCTTCTTGAGGGATAAGGCTCGCTTTGTTTCATATTTTTATGATTGTCAACAAATCTTATGAAAACGCCAAAACCAACAAAGTGGAGCCCTGCAAGGGGCTGTTTTCTTAATCCAACTCCCTCAGACCTTCTGACCATTCGCGCCCCCGCAATATACAGTTACATTGATTTTGTGTCTTCTGCCGTCCTGCAGGGAAAACATGTTATTGTACTCTGTAGGATTAACAAAGAGACGCATATCTGTCTGTAATAAAGCAGCAAAATTACAATAACATTCATAAGAATTACAGTTATTCTAGTCAGTAAGTACACATCTAATACTTCGATTTTATGCGTCTGTAGCATCTTGTTTATTATTCAATGCAGTTCTCTACAGGGAAGCATCAGCCTGTGTCTGTGGCTCTCGTCTTCAAGTCCATTTGTACCTGTTGAATATGCAAAGCTTAAAAAAATACCCCACAAATATACTGTGTAGTGAAACAATGCAGTGATTTCCTAAAACAGTTGATGGTTTTGAGCAAATCTTTCTCAATCAGAAGGAAGCAGCACATTTATTTAGAGCTTTTATTTCCTCCTGCAGATTATTCCACATTTGTTAATCCACCGATGCCAAAGCAGCAGGACAGTATATTTGGAAACTACACAAAATACACCATATTGTCTGCGTTCACTGTAATATAGGAACATTTTAGGGCAACTACGTAGCTCATTGATTGATGTTTTTTTGGGCAGCAATGGAGGTAAAGAATGTGGCACAGAGGAAAAAGATATATCAGGCAAATATTTACTAAGATCGATTAGTGGTTCGTCTCGAGTCTTTTCATGCTAATTGTTGACAGCGAGAAAAAAATACAAAATATGCAGATGTGTCTTAGGAATATGATGTTACAGACAGGAGACTTATCTAAAAAATCACAAATAAACGTCTTTTGTACAACTTAGTGTTTGTACATGTCTAAAAAATTCAATTAAAGTGATATTAAGTTAGCTATTAAAAATGCAAGGAGGTAGACTTTTCAAAACTTTTAGAACTAGTTGTTTCTGTTGTCTTTATATTTAACGTGAGAGTGGTATCAAGCTCAACCAAACACTGTTTATAAAAGATGGTTGTAGCCGCCGTGTTTCTAAAGTTAAAGTGACTTAAACCTGCATTTTTGTCTAACAGCCAGCAGGGGGCAACTCCTCTGGTTGCAAAAAGAAATCAGAATGTACAGAAGTCGATGAGAAAATGACCCTACTTCTCAGTTAATTAGTCACCTCAGTAAACATTCTTCTAATGAGTTTATTATCTCAGTTGCAGGTATCAAGTCTCCTTCAAAACAGTTTGATGTTCAGTTTGTAAATCATGGTTCCATTTACAGTAAAATAGAAAATAAAGTAGTGTTTGGGTCGTAGCTACCGAGTGATTATGACTGACAGTAATTTGCTCAAGTTCTCAGCTCTCGCGCTTCATAGTCCAGTTGTCTCGTCGGCTAGTTTCTAAACACCAAAAAGCAAATTCCAAGGTTTCAAAACTTTGGTCCACAAATCAGTGGGTGATGCCACAGTGGCGACATCCGTCTTTGATATACAGCCTGTCCTCTCCGCTCTCCACAGGTCTGCAGCTGAATATATTTGCCAAAGTATCAAACTGTTTCTCTGATGTCCCTGTTCCTGTGCAGGCTCGCTCCAAGAGTGAAGTCAAATTCAAAATCGTTCCTGCATTCTGCGAGGACGAAGTGCCAACAGATAAAGAAAAGGTACGGTGACTATTAACTGTCTCACATATTCCTGTGCTTTGTGCTTTTTTTTTTTTTTTTTTTTAAATATAGGCATGCGATGTGGTTGCCAGGGGGGGGAAAGCTGCCCGCCTGGTTTCAGTAAAGAGAGAAGAAATCAGTGGTACCTCGTGTGTCTGGTTATATTTTGTGCTTCTGCCACGATGCTGTCACTACCGCAGCGTGGCTCTCAAGAAGCAACATCAGTTCAGACAATCAAGGATGAGGCACAGACTAACTTCATTACAATATGCAGCTTGTTGTCATTTAAACACTTGAGCCGTATCAACTCAATTGAACATTAACAATGAATCCATACGCCTTGTGTGGAAATTTTCAAGTTCCGCCATCTTTTGTTTAGAAAGAATTACAGCTAGGCCGCTACCACATACACGGAGAGCACGTCCAAGCTGGAAACCGTTAAAGCAAGGAGCATTTGCTATGGATTAAGACAAATTATTTTCGGTGATTGTGGTCGTATCTCAAAAATGACACCAACCTATGTGAAGAAACACCAGAAGAAAAGATGCCAGGATACAGAAGTTCATGCAGCTGCAGTGGAAACAGACAAACGTGAATAAATAATTTAAGAATAATGTGTTTTTTTTCCATTTGCTACCAGTTTGTCTGTTTGAACACAAAAAAGACCAAAAACTAAACGTGATGGATTTCCTTCCCCAGCTGTTCGTGCGGGCTCTGTTTGACTACGATCCCAGCGAGGATCCAACCATCCCGTGCCAGGATGCGGCAGTGGCCTTCCAAAGAGGCGACGTCCTCCAGATTTTGAGCACCGAAGATGAGACCTGGTGGCAGGCCCGTCGCGCTGAGGACAGCGACAGCCGGGCCGGGCTCATCCCCTCAAAGGAGCTGCACGAAAGGTGATGATATTTATGTGCTTTTAAGTCACACACAAGTCATTCCATCTCAATACGCCTGACCATCTCATGTCGATTTTGGTATCGTTTTCTTGGTGCCCATCTGTGGAGCAATAATGTAGCTGGAGTCCTGAAATCTTGCAGGATCACTGATGTGTACATATGGACTGTAATGGTCCAACCCTGCTTTGATAGAACAATACAAAACAATTATAGGATGGTGTAAATTTGCTTAAAAGATCGTCTACGTTTCTTTCTACTCTGATATTTCACCAACCATAAAACCTTTATATTTCACCCTGGGAGGCAGATTTCTTTTGGCTGTGACTTGCACCAACTGGAGATATAGAAATGTAGAGTATGGTGCCAGTCAGAGGCGTATTTTATGAGAAAAAAGCTATTAAAATTCGTTCTTTGCCTTTATGGCCAATATTAGGACCATCATTGAGCAGGTGTAATGGGTGGAATGGACGATTTATATAATGTTGTCATTGCGCTAAAAGAAAAATCATGGTCATCCATCCATCCATCTATTATCTATACACCGCTTCATCCTCACTAGGGTCGTGGGGGGCTATCACAGGGCTACACTTAGAGACAGACAACCAAGCACACTCACATTCACACCTACGGACAATTTAGAATCACCAATTAACCTCAGCATTTTTTTGGACTGTGTGGGAGGAAGCCGGAGAACCCGGAGAGAGAACCCAAGCTGCACGGGGAGAACATGGAGACTTTGATTTTCCAGCTCATAGTGCTTTAAATAATTTTATGAAAAGTGGCACCAGGACTCCAGCTACCTTATTTCTCAAGTTGTGGCACTTTGAACGTCGCTCAACAGATTGGCGCCAAGAAACGACGTAAAAATCGACATGACGGGCGCCCCTATAGCTCACCGGGTTGAGCGGGTGACCCATGAACAGGGGCTGCAGTCCCCGATGCAGCGGTTGTGAGTTCGAATCCCGCTCATGACCCTTTGCTGCAGGTCTCTCCCCATTCTTCTCCCCACTTTCCTGTCTCTCTCTACTGCTCTAAATAAAGGCAAAAGCCCAAAACATATATTTTAAAAATCGACATGACCCCGGCACGCTTTAAGAATTTTTAACTCAAAAAGTAGCGTTACGTATGACCCAGATTTCACACATGGTCAATGCAATAGATATCACTTTAACCCTGTTCAGGACTTTTGGGGCCTTTTGGACCCCAAGACATTTGCTTTAGGTGACATTTTTGAAGTTGTTTTTTTTTAAATATAAAAAGAGGGACATTTGTCATGCATGTGGAACCCAAAATACGACATCTTATCAGAACATTTAACATAGTATAAAGGTCTATAATGAATACCAACTAATATTTTGCACATATTCTTCTTGGGGTCCAATGAACCCCAAAAGACCTTCTACGTATGAAAACATGAAAGTCCTGAATAGGATTAAAAAGAAATCTGTTGAATTGAAGATGGTCAGGTGTGGCACATGGGGGGAATGTAGGTGAACATTTGAACTAAATGTTTTGTTTTTAATCTGCATTGTTTCGTCTGGCTTTCTACAGAAGAGTGGCGCTACAGCGACCCGCAGCCCTGTTCAAGCCTCGGACAGTCAAACCACCAGGTGACGAAGCAGCGTCCTCTAATAAACTCACCACACCTGAAAAACATAAAACACTGTCCAATAAACATATTACAGGTTCTTTAGCGCTGAGCCAAGAGGTGAGAGGCCGCGTCTGAAGGTCACGCTGAAGGTTGAGGTCATGGGTGAGCTCGGCCGCCCTCCTCTCGTACTAACGTCTCTTGTTTTCTCCACATGCTCCACAGATGAGCAGCGAGGTACTGTCAGTCTGCATTCGCTTTACCTTCAACATAATTCACTTGATGTAATACACGTGTAAATTTTAGGTTCTGGTTTGAGGTTTTAAAAGATTTAAAGAGTCGAGTTTTCCAAAGATAATAGTCGCGGCTCCGTGTTTCCAAAGCGGGGAGACAATTCTGTGAATTGTTCCGCTGTCGCAACCAAGTTGGTTTAAAGTTTCTATTAACAGACCTGGACTCCTACATTTAATTTTTCACTCGCTATCACTTTGTAAGAGTGAGGCAGTTATTCATGTCCCAAAAATTACGGATATCGTGTCTAAATAAAACTATTATTAGAATTTCAAAGCGATACGTTAAGACATTTGGGTCAGAACATGTGCTAATACTTTGAGTATGAAGTTTCAGAGCAACACATGCTGTCCCCTCGTGGTTTTCATCCACGGTTTCCTCACTCTTTCCTCATCTCTCTTCCTGTTTTTCCAGTCACGGAGGATGTCGACTACAGAGCTATAACGGGGATCCACGTTGGTGAGATGTTTTTCCTTGCACCACTCAAATCCCACTGATCTTGCAAAGGGACCAGTGTGATACGAGATAACGCAGCTCAGGGAGATCGAACATGACAGCTGACAACAACACACACTGGAACTCGCTAACAAAAATAGATGGAGAGGGGGAAAAAAAAGGAGACCCCGGTTGTATTTACAGTACAAAGCAGCTCCTATGATGATGTAGTTCTGTGGTTTAGAGACTTAAGGGGAAGGGCTGTGGTCTTCCCATTTATCCCATTTGTCTTGATCCCGTGGATTGGATGTGATGCTCTTGTGTGTATTTGTGTGTGTTCGTGTGCATGTGAGCAATGCGGGATGCTTGTATGGGGGGAACACACTTATGGCTGATTGTAGAAAGGCTCCTTACATCTGCACAAGGCAATCACAGATCCTGCATTATATCATTTCTAAGAGTCATGTGCATTAAATAATGTGCGTTTCATCTCATGTCGGGCCAAGTTCCACCTGAGGACGTGGTTCAGACTCTTGCTTCCTCTTTGTCTGGTCTGTGAAGCCTTATTGATGCAACATGAGCGAATGACTACATGTAGAAAAATTAAAGAGAGACAGTGAATGAAAGAGAGGGGACGTGGTGGGGTATTATATGTAGATACGCAAATAAAAAACAGGTGAAAAGGCGAGAAAAGGGCTGGTCTTGTTTGCGGTTATATGTCTGTCCTTTAAATCATATTCTGAAATATTGATTTTTTGGAAGCACTCTTAACTGCTTTCTTGTGAAGAATTAGACCAAAAGATCGATACCACTCTAATGTCTGTGCATTAAATATGAAGCTGAAGTCAGCAGCCACTTAGCTTAGCTTAGCATAAAGACGGGAAGCGAGACAAGGCGCATAACTTCCTGTAAAATCCAATTTGGGGTTCTTTCATTTCAGGTTTCGTTTGGATTTAAGACGTAGAATTTAATGAGCAAGATCTGGAGGGGTCTTTTTTTTGCTACTTTAAGCTGTTTCCCAATCTATAAGCTAAGCTAACGAGCACTTACTTAACATTCAGGAATAAATAAAAACACTCTCTAAAATGTAAGCTCTCAGTTTCAATTGTTTAATTATTTCTTACATTAAAAAATCTATGAAAAAATTCAATTCAAAGCATTTTTGATGACTTATCTTGATAGATTAACCAACTAGCTATGAGCTAAGCTACCTAAATTAGCAAGATTTAGAGGAATTTTTTTGTCAAAGTTGCCGGTTCCCAGTGTTTAAGCCAAGCTATCAAGCACTCGCCTTATATTTAGGATCTTAAAAACTAATTTAAAGTAATTTCACTTTAATTTCAAAGTAATTTTGATGACTTGGTGTGGCTGCAGATTTAGTCTATGCACTTTTTTTTCAGGCCAACAAGACCAGGGTTCTATATAAATGAATGGGGAGAGGGCCATAACTGTAATGTCAGTGGTCACTGGGACTGCACGAGTAGAATCAGCAATTAAAAAGCTTCAAAAAAGTTGGTGGCTTTGCTCCAAAACAAGGTTTAAAAAGTGTTTTTTTTTTTCCACCACACTATGTCTGTGGTCTTTTATGCCTTTAGGCCACTGCAGTAAGGACTTTAGCCTTTGTACATTGAGAGCATGTTTCAACCAGGTCGTTCTCGGTTCAACTGTTACCAAGCAGACAATTATCCTTTTTTTTTTAGTGGCAGTATGGAGCATGGGTGTTGGCATTATGGAATTCTCTTCTACTCAGGATTCTTTAAGTGTCAGATCTCCTCCATAACATCTCTGACCCTACTGAGATATTCCCTTTCCCGGAGTTATTGGACAGATATGAGAGTGGTATTGATCGTCTTGTGTAACTTGTCAAGCTATTTCATTAAAGGACCGGTGTGGAGGATTTAGTGGCATCTAGTGGTGAGGTGTCAGATTGCTACTACCTCTCGCCTCACCTTCCACTTCCAAGTGTGTAGGAAAATGTACAGTGACTGTACAAAAGGAGCTCTTTAAGGCCAATAAAAAACACAATCATTCATAGTTATATGTGAATGTACATTAAAACTGGGATAGGCAGTATTTTTTTTTGCATTCATGAGTAAAAACTTCAAACTAATCTTTCAGCATATCGTAATTCAAAGTGGTTTGAGGGGAAACTAGATTTCCGCGCCTCATCTTGGCTTCGTGTTTAGACAATCTAGCCCATTTTAGCCAATCACAGGGTTTTTGATTGATTAGATAAGATAGCGTAAACATCCCCGGTGAGAAAATGTTGCGTCATCGTGGCACCACAACGGACTTTCACTGGTACCAGCAGAGCTCAAATCCCAGCTGAAGCCACGAACGATTGCTGGCTCGACTATCTTTACTTGTTTGAAGCTCGTGCTAACCTGCTGCGAAGAACAGATTATTTCGAGAGTTCAGCCAACTGCAGCTTTAAAGAAACACAATTATGAACACATTTCTACTAATAGGTTCCCCTAAATTCTACATGTTGGCCCTTTATATAACAAAACATTCAGTATTACTTAGGTGCCCTTAAGTGTTTTTATGGAGGGCTACGATATTTCATGATCAATCTTAAATCCGACTCCGTTGCACTGCTGGTTAAGGCTCACATCGTTTTGACATAAAGGGCTCAGGCCCAGCTTATGACATGGTGTATGCTCGCCCTCCTCTCTGCCTTATCTCTTATTTCACCCTTACTTCATGCTGCCCAGGAAAGCACAAATATCTTGTAGTGTTTCCAAAAAACGTACGGCTGAGAGCATTTTCAGTCACAGATGAGAATTTCGCTGCCAGAATTACTTAAGATTGACAATTACAAGATGTTTTCCCCTAGACCTGATTTGATTCTAGGAAATACGGCTTCTTTTTGCTGTCTGAGTGAACTCATCAGTTTAAATCCCATGTAAACAAAAGTTTGAGATCTCTGCTCCATAGTGGCATGTTCCTCAGACTGAAGCCCAGAGAGGAAATGGATAGATATGCTTACAAAGTGAAATTAAGGCTGACGTCAAAGAAAGTCTGGCACCTTCACTTAGTAGCAGTTAAAATCATGAAAGTGGAGGGGAGTCTGCCAAGTCGGGCTAAACCGCAGTCGCATGGCAGAAGCTGGATGTCAGACAGGATAGCAGCGATGCGTGACGGACTGAGTTGTTGTCTCCTGACTTAGATGTGTGCTGTTCGGGATGGTGCTCGACAACACAGTTTGGGTGGCAGCGTTAATGGCTTCTTAAATGGTGCACTCCTGTAGTCTGTTTCCCATTGCTGCTGTAGCTCTCTGTTCTGTCACCGTGTAAGACAAGAGGTCTAGTGTTTGTCCTTCTAACCGAGTCGAGTTTATGTAGTGCGCCACTGGAAGCAAAGTTAAATTGATAGTTAGAATTTGCAAGTAAATTGAGTCAAAACAAGATGACATTACACTAGAATAAATCGGGCACCGCTACAGCTCGCTTGGTTGAGCTGGCTTACATGTTCAGGGGCTATAGTCCCCGATGTGGAGGTCATGAGTTGGAATCCCGCTCATGGCCCTTTTCCACAGGTTCTTCTCCCCCACTTTCCTGTCCCTCTCTCTCCACTGCACTCTCAAATAAAGGCAAAAAGGCCAAAAAATAACTTATAAAAATAGAATAAATCGACCTCCAACATGAATAAAGATGAGCAACTTTCACTCTTTCTGCATCAAGACAGTAAAATAAAGTGTGTTTTTAAAGCTGCACACATCGAATGAACAAACGCTCTATGTGCAATGTGAAAGAGAATGCTTGCAGTGCTGAATCCGTGGTGTTTTATCATCAGAGTTCCACTTATCTCAATTACTTTTAATCCGTTTCAGCTTACCTGTTTTGAGCCTTATTTCCAGCCACTTAGAGCATCCAAGTATCATCCACCCAAAGAGCCCAAAAACGAAAAGGAAGACCAAGTCAGAAACTAGCCAGTGAACTCGGTGGAGCATATCGCAGCTAATGAGCCAGGTATTTTCCTGATTAATTAAAGGAGGATAAGAGCAGACTAAAAAGGACAGTGAATAATATTTCCACATTTCATAGAAATGTGACTCCAAATGAATGCTAATGCTGCAGTTTTCAGAGGAGACTGTGGAAACACATTCGCCATATTCCGAACTGTATACCGTGCTGCGCCTCTTCAAGTGGCCAAAGGTTAATTACAGAAAGGTTTAGAAGTTTTCAGTTGCTGTGACTCGGTTTATGAGCTGCAGCATAAAGTGGAAACCGACACCAGAGTTCAGGAAGTTAAGGAATTTCTTCAGTAAGTACTTTCAGCATCTTAAAGGTCCAATATATACGATTTTGGATATAAGCCTAGCAATAGTTGTATAGTTGTATTTGCCGTGTGAATCAAAGTCTGAGACAAACTTGCCACTGAACACATCTGATTTATTTCTCATTTATTTGGATATTTCCGCTTGAGCGTGTTTCCTAAACAAGTACTCAACTAGTGCAGCAACCTTCTGCCTTAGAGGTCAAACGGCTGTTTGGCTTTTCAAAGTGGAACACCTGACCAGACAAACATCAGGCCCCACTTACGCTACTAAGCGCTAATTGGCACCTACAACATCCTGAGCAGAAGGTGAAGTCATACCCTCTCTGAGTGTGTTGTAATCCACGCTTTTCGCTTTTATATTTTGGCAGCCGGTCCGGCCATCTAGTGCACATATGAGTCCCTCCCTTTGAAACTGTTGGTCGTCCCCACATTTGTAAACAGACTGAGAGAGTAGCCAGAACTGTTCAGCCAGTGCCCTCCTAAAAACTAGTTATTTGCCTGATTTATGTGCACTACTGCTGTCTCTGGTCGGTGTCTGTTCTGCTCTGCTCTGTATGTGTGGAAACAGACACATACAGACCGGAGCAGAACAACCACAAACCAAGCAAGGGCAGAGACCAGTAACAAAACGGTACACAAATTGACAGCAGCTCATCATGGCTATACAAGCAGTTTACAATGCCAGCATGGGGGAATGGTTGTGGCTGGATTGTTACTGTTGGCTCTCATGTATGAAACATGAAGGGACGGGGAGGTGTTGCCGATGCGTCAGTTTGTTTTCATCTGAGCTGCTTGTGCTCCAGCAACATTCGCTGGGTCTGAATGTCCCACACAGCATCTTTAAGCAAACATCTTCAGGATAGAGTGCAGAAACATAAGCAGCCATTAGAGAACGGTGAGCGCCAACAGCAGGAGAGCCTTGACAATGCAACCCCTCCCCACCTTTTATATCAGGTGTGGTCAATAATGCAATGGAGCTAATGCACCACCCAAAGACTTTTGCACTCCCACTGCAAGGCCTGAGGGGCAGCAGTACACCTGACAAGTCTACTGTCTCTTTCCCAGCTGGTTTAAGAAGAAGTTTCCGACTGGGCAGAAAGAGCAGCTGGGCCAAAGAAGCAGCTCGGTTCAGGAGGTGGAGCGCTGGGGTGCATGGCTCCATCTGTCCACCTACCTACATCGAGGTGATCCCCTACCACAGAGAACCAAAGGACAGACACCGTCTGGTCGTCCTGGTTGGTATGTATGAGCTAAAAATACAGCCGCACAAAGAGGCAGGAAGAGAACAACGCCAAGCACTTGTAAAGCAGGTACTTATGCTGCGTGTTCCTCAATAGGAAACTCCTGTACGCTGAACAGACTATAATATTCCAACATGCGAAGCTCATGACGTGGTAGTAGCTGCGGTAATATGTATAAAACGGTTGCGCTGTGGTCAGTTGTATTCTGTTTTATATTATCCAAACTGCTTTTTTTTTGTTGCCCGTGCTAAAATTCAAAATACCACTCAGGAGCAGGACAACAGTACTGAAGCTGTTGTTGATCAAAAGAAAAAAGCAATGCATTGATGAAGATTTATGTTCCCACTCCTGAGTGCATGAACAATCCTTTCCCATCAGAACCACGTAAACACTGTCAGAAAACTCCAAGTCAGAATATATTGTGTTCTCTTAAGTTACCTAGTAGCCCACCCCAAATCCACTTCTCTGCCAATCCTGCAGGCCTGCTCTATGTATTTTTCAGCTATATCTCTCCCCAGGGAATTTTACATTGAGCCCCACTGAAGGCCTTTTTAATGTCATATTACGCTACAACTGCAGGTCATATATATAGAAAAAAGGCAAGATGCAGAAGGAAGGAAGAGGAGGGGCAGAAATGTGAAGGTGGAAGGCAGAGAGGCGAGACACAGAAATGAAGAGGTGCAAAAACAAAAACAGATACTGAAGAGATAAATGATAGATGAATACAGAGAAAGAGATGAGTGGATCGTGAATAAGATCCCTCATAATGTCAGCCAAGTGCTCCATCATCAAGCTGGAACAGTTAAGACAGCTTGGATTTAGATTTAGACCTCTTTAATTGAGTTGGAGCGTACCCCGACTCTGGATTACGTTTTACTGTCTGCTGTGAAGGCTCTTCATTGACCGGAGGTCATCATTAAGAATATATAGCTTATTGGCAATGAAAGTTATAGACAGGAAAACCAAAACCTGGATCACTAAACCAGGACCAGCTGGATGATGTTTGACCAGGTTGGAAATAGATCCTTTCTGTTTGCACTGCACACTCACTTTGAATGAAACAATAGAGCGTTATGCCCCAGGAAAGTTGGTGACAGACACTGCCAGCCACTTTAAGCCCTACAGATCATGTAGCTCCTTAAAAAAAAAAGGTCAGAAGAAAGTATCCACAGAGCCCGATGATGCTCCTCTCCAATTCTGTTGAGCAGCTGGGAAACGCATCAGCATTGTAAGAGTGGAGAGTCCATAAACCTGATATTTTGTAATGTATCGAGCTCATGCAACCCAGTGATGGAAAAGGCAGGTATGTCAGGAATCCTACTTTCAGACAGCGCTCCATTAGAGTCTGATGCAATCTGGGGCTGCAGTAACCTGCACTAGAAGAAAATCCCAGATGCTGCAGTGTGTGTGTGTGTGTGTGTGTGTGTGTGTGTGTGTGTGCTTCATCCTGACCATCCTACACTATAATGACACCGATACTGTGTGGCTTTTCAGATGTCACATTTAGATGTGATGCTATGGATTTTCCAGAGGGTATAGGAGCATTAAATGTTCGATAGAGGGGCGCAGACGGTGGCTGGTTGGAGAATCATTTTCAGGGTGAAATCAGAATGAAATCAGAGCTCTGTCTGTCTGACTTTCTCTCGCTCTCCCTCTCCGTCTCTGATGATAAAGACAGATGCGTCATTTGATGTTGGGCTTGTCTTGAGGAAAGCATTAGTACACACAGGGATATTGGGAATGAATACCCGCATACAGAACACAACGGTTTTTGATCTTTGTCTCGAGGGCCCAGCGGCGTTGGCGTTAATGAACTGAAGAGGAGGCTGCTGATCTCCGACCCCGACCGCTATGGCGTCACTGTGCCGTGTAAGACCGACACCTTGGAGTTTCATAACTGTCGCCTTCACCTCCACTGAATCGTTTTTCATCTTTTAAGACGGCCTTAAGCCTTCCCGTCCTCTTCTCTTTCAGACACCACCCGTGAGAAGAGGAGGCAGGAAAGCGAAGGGGTGGATTATCATTTTGTGTCAGTTCACATGTTTGAAGAGCACATTCTGGATCATAGGTGCTGTATTGTGTTTTGTTCACTCGCTCACTCCAGAGTCTACCATTCCTGCTGCTGTCTGACAACCATTTTATGCTGTCCTACTTCATTTTTTATGTCTCTGTCTGCTTCTGCTTGTAGGTTTATAGAGTATGGGAGTCATGGAGGCCACTACTATGGCACAAGTCTAGACTCTGTGTACAGGGTGATGGCCGAGGGCAAGGTGTGCCTCCTGGATGTGCATCCTAGTGTAAGCATTATGACGAATACATTCATGATCACATAGGTTAGAGACTAAGTCATGTGTCTCTGCTGATTTACTCAAACTGGTGCAAAAAAATGGGATTCAGCAGTGACAATTCATAATTTTTCATCATATGCCATTTAAAAAACTAAATAATAATGACAATAAAGCACAAGGGCAGTCCAACGTTAGAAAAAAATGGGGATAAATTGCAGGAAAAAAATAAAATTAAACTGTTTCAGAGATTTCTACTGCAGACTGTACATCCTTTATTCAATTCAACTATTTTTATAGCACCCATTCACAACATAGGTCATTTCGGGCCACTTCACATAAGACCTCATCGTAATATAATACAGAGAGAAACCCCATGAATCAAGCAATTCCTTCTGAGCAGGCACTTGGCGACAGTAAAGAGAAAAAAAAAATCCCTTTCAACATTTTAACAGGAAGAAACCTCCGGCAGACCCAGGCTCAGGGAGGTCTGCCATCTGCCTCCACTGGTTGGGGTGAGGGGAGACAGAGAAGGAACAGCACTGCTCAGGAAATAACAGAAAAGCAAGATGCATGTCCACAAAATAGTTACTGTGAAGTAGTCATGATTTTATTTGGAGTAATACCATAGTTTGAGCCATGTTTTGTGCAGTGCTGGCTGTGGGATGTTTGTGTTTCGCTCCAGAAATAATTATAGATGTTTTTTCTTTCTGGCTGGTTCTGGTTTCCTTATAGCTCCTGGTTTCGTTTTCTGGCTTTTATCAGTAACTAGTGCTAGTGCTAGCATTAAAGCTACCACAGGCTCCTGTCCAGAGCAAGAAACAACCACAAGAGTCCCAATTTGGAGTACAAACCTCGATCCCTCTGTGATGATTAAAGCCAAGTAAAACACCCAGTTGAACCAATAAGTAGGCAGGTTTTGTTACTGACTGATCTTGTAGAAATGATGCCAACGAAATGTCAGTTTTGACAAATCCTGGAACTCTCTTCAACGATCAAATGCCGCCCAAGGTCCTCTTTTGTACTTAAAGTGGCAACTCAAAGGGTTGAAAAATGAAGCCAACACAGAAATGTCCAAAACTGCAGTTCCACAAATGGCCACTTGAGGCTGGCTCCAAAAGTGACTCCATACTCGTAGAGCCATATGTTAAAATGTCGAACTTTACAGTAGAAATAAACATGTTTACAGCCTGGTACAAAAAAAACGCTAGGTGTCAATAGTTAGTTTCCCCATTCATGGCAACTGTATGGGGGTGTATTTATATATACGAGGTGTGTCAGAAAAGTTCCAGGACTGGTTTCAAACCCAAACTACCAAATACCAGTTTTCCCCTTCAGATGATCAACCAGCACGTCTACAAAGAGATCCTGCGGTGTTTGCTTCATTCGGGGAGAGGCGAGAGTTGTGGCAGGACAAGTCGTGGCTGCTTCACCATGACAACGCGCCTGCTCACAACGCCCTGAGCATCCCACAGCTCCTGGCTGAGAAGAACATCTCCGTGCTGGAGCAACCTCCCTACTCACCCCACCTGCTCTGTGGGATTGTTTCCTCTTCCCCAAGCTCAAGGAGGTCATCAAGGGGACCCGTTTAGAAGACATGGACGACATCAAGATGCTGAGGATCCTGGAAGAATCCTTCCAGGAGTGCATGGCGGCGTGGCAGAGAAGGCTGGGGACGTGTGTTAGACTCCAGGGGGATTACTTGGAAGGGGAAAACTTGTAGTTTGTAGTTTGTATTGGAAATTTATCTTGTGTGACACCAGTCCTGAAACTTTTTTGACACCTCGTACATCACCCATTTAAACAGTATTAAGGCTAAAAGTTCTGCTTAATTAAGGGCATAGACCCTTTGAGTGACAGATGGGTGCCGTCACAGGACAGACGTATGCATGGCCCACCTCAGCTCCACTCAGGTTCCACCTCTTGCCCCATTTTTGGATGAGCTGGGAGTTATGAGAAGTCATAGGTTGCCAAGATGGCAAACACCAGAGTCACCAAACTCAGCTTCAGAACCTCTGTTCAGGAAACCTGTGGGCGACGTCATGAAGGATTCATCCATATTTATATACAGTCCATGATCGGTTTCGATCACTCTTCCTCTTTGCCGTCTTTGCCTCCTCCAACAACAGGACTGTTTTTCTTTCCAGACTTTTCACTGTTACTCCACAGTTGTTCCACCATCTGTCATTTCAGCTACCTCGGAAAAGCTACTGATAGCTACCAGAGAAAACATAAACACTATCCTCTTACTTTCTTGGTTGTGCAATTGCAGACGCAGTTCCTTTGTGGCATAAAGCAAGCCTTCATTTTCTTGCACAGAGAAAGAGAGGCTTATAGGGACCCAGTCAAAACAGCGGTGGTGCCATTTGTCTACAGCCATTGCATGTACTTGATGACAAATTACAGCAAAACAAAATGTCACTTTCCATTTTAAATAATCAATATTCAACACAATACCACCAGGTTCATCAGCTTTTTGTTGTCAGGCTCTTACATGTTATCATTTTGCCACATGTGCTCATAATGCTGGTAGCTTTACATCACGCATGAACGTTGGAAATAATGAAGTGTTTCTGCATTTTCCAGACTTCAGACATCTTGTGTACTTTGTGTAGACAAACTTATTGTCCCGTAACTTGCACCCTCATCTGACCTCTTTCTTTTTCACCACTGCCTCTACAGAAAATAAAGCGAGTGTACACGTCTGAATTCAAACCATACGTGGTGTTCGTGAAACCGCCGCGCATCGAGGAGCTGCGCCTCACCAGACGGAGAGCTAAATTCGTCTGCGATGAAGAGGACGCGGACCCGGTCCGGGTCTTTTCAGTGAGTTAAAAAAACATCAACATAAACACACAAGAAAAAAAACCCATACTGCGCCAGGTGCATGTGTGTGAAGTCAAGTGCTTGTTCCATGTCTTGTAGCATGCAGGGCGTTGTGAGGTCAAACACCTTGGCCCAAGTACACACACCTACACACCCTTACTCATGCAGACACCTTGCTTTACACATGGCTGACCCTGTTTGCATTTAAGAGACATTTAAGAGACAGGGGGAGTTACTGGGTGCTGCTCGGTGGGTGGCTTCTTGTTCCATAACTAACATGTAGGTGAGCACATTTCACCCAGAGATGCGGCGCTACAGCTTATGTGTGGTAAAGTTCAGGTTTTATCGTCTTTGTTGGGTTTATGTTCCCTTCAAAACAGGAGCACGTATGACTGATTGTGTTTTCGACTGGACAAAAACATGCTAAGTCACCTTCATAATGCCCATCTGGCTGCACATTCACTGTTTGACCCCGGCTACCCGGTTGGCCCTTATTAAACCCACGGGGTCACACACCTGTGCTGCAGCAAGGCTTCGGTAGTTTGCCCAGTGCCAAGCAACCAAAGCCCCGAGAGAGTTCAGGCCCATCTTAAAGAGCTGTGCTTTAAACTTGTACCACACCTGGTGTGAAAAAGGCCTCTTATCCTCGACTCCCAGCATGTAACGATGAGTTACGCCTCGGTCAGTATAGCTGGATGGTCATGGTTCCGTTTCCTATTATGTTACAGTATTTGCAGATTATTATAAAACGACCTCTTTGAGGATGTTTCAGCCTCCATATGGTCAGACTTTAGCTACTTGTTAGCTCTAAATCCACAGGATGTGCCACTCAGACTAGGAGAAGAACATTTTGCATGACAGCAAAGACATGAATCAATTTTTTTTGTTCAAATGCTGTCACATTTACCTAAAACTGGGCTCTCAAGACTGAACACAGCTTCCTACTAATGCCTGATTTATGGTGTTTTTTGTTCACAGGAGGAGGATTTTGTGGACATGATTGACTTGGCTGAAACCATGGAGACCCAGTACGGTCACCTGTTTGACCAGGTGATTGTTAACGGAGATATCGCCACAGCATTTAGAGAAGTGAGGGCCGACCTCGAGAGGATCTACGAGGCAGAAGTCCAGTGGGTTCCTGCAGACTGGACTTGCTCCCCGCCGGCAAAAGCAAGGAGAAGCTGCAGTCATTTGGCCGGCTGGATTTGAGCTGCGATCCCTTATTCGGACATCGAAATGAGCAAATAAATACATGTTAATAACACCTACATTATGTTTAAGATATAGTGTTAGAATTCAACACCTTGAGCGCTGAATTTCTGTCATATTTGAAATATTTTTTCCATGCATAATAAACAAGGTCAGTAATGACTAAAGTTTTCCATAGTGTTCCTTAGTGTGTGTCTAATTAGGCAGAATCCATCTCTCTCTTTCTCTCTGTCGTTCCCTCTCTCCATCTGTCTCAGAGCCCGTTTTTCTGTTGGCATTTGGCTGAAATAACTTCAGCTCGCAGGACGAAGAGGAAAAAAAAAAAAAAAAGGAAACTCTCCAGAGCTTGTGGCTGAGTGTAATCCTTCCCTGCCAAGTCGCAAACATCAGCATGTAATTATTCTGACAGCTGCTGCACTTCAATTAACTGTAATGTACACCAGAGAAATATTATTAGTAGCAGTCAGGGAGACGTTTTGCCAACAACATGCTGTATGAAATAGGGACGCAAACACGATAACAATCGAGCGCCGTAGATGAAGCAGAGCGAAAACCTCTTTATGATGTAGAATTGTGGAAATCCATAGTGCCAGTTCCATCTTACCTGACTTTTAAGGTTTAAATGTGTGTATTTATAAGCACCCTATACTGCAAATTACATCTATTAGAGTACAGCACAGCCTTTTTTTTTTTACACACACATACTGAGACAATTAAAAATAATGGGCAGAAACTCACCGCTAGCGACACCCCATTAACAAATACTCATATTTGAGCATCACAGCTGCTCGTCGGGTGCAGACTCCCCTCTTCTCGTTCACACATGGCGCTTAATCTAATTCTTTTTAATGGCCGCATTCCTCTACATTCACGGTGTTTCCTTCCTCCTTTTTTGGATGCTGTGCTCAATTGGGTGTGAAGGAGTGTTAATGTGTCTATCATGTCGTGTTTGGGGAGGAAGAGGGAGCAGCGTGATGCGGGGGGAGACGGTAATGGCTTTCAAGGGACGTGGGCCTTCGCAAGACGTGCACCGAGAAGTTACGACCGCACATAAAAGCTTACTGTAAAAGCACAGCGAGGCTCGACACAGTGGATTAGGCCAGCGAGAAGCACACCGTCAGCTCTCACGTATTTATTTTTCTTCGGCAAGCTTATTGTCAGAGTCAGATGAGCGCACACGGAAGGTGGTAGCACGAGCTGATGCGCCCGCTGGTGTGTCTGCATGTCTTTTGGCGAAGCGAACATACAAACACAGACTGTCGGGACAACAGTGGAAACCGGTGCCAGGCCTGAAGCTCGACCTCAGCCAAAGCGTGGCAGTATAATTTCATCACACCGCTGAGAATCTGCAGGCACCCTCTGAGATCATAACGATGCCATTAAAGACACCGGAGCGATCCAATGAAAACCGGCCGCTTTATGTTCGCTGCAGCGCCCACTTCAAACATTACACAGAAGTATGATGTCAATTGGTCTCGGACAATTTGGCTCAATCGTGTAACTGTCTGTTTGAAGCATGTAAAAATAAATGCGACTGATGTTGAACAACATCTTCGTTATTGCAGGAAATATTCATGATTTTTTTAAACAACCGGCACAGTAAAGTGCAGGCTGAAGGTGTTCGGGGGGTTTATGATACAAAACTAAACAGGAAGCACACGTAGAGTCCAGCTACGGTTGTTGATCTGTGTATCAAAGCTGCATTTTTACAGGGTTTAATCCCTTCCTGCCTTGTGATAACTTAAATGTAACTCCACCCTTTGACTCTGTTGAAGGATGTTTGTGCCGCCACTCGTCCCATGAAGCTCAAGCACACCAGCTCACCTAAAATTGCTGAAACACTGTAAAACTAGATAATGGAGTAATTAAGTTACACATATTCGACCCAGAAACTGATTCAGAAGAAGAATGACACAGAAAGTCCACCCTACCACCTGAAGGATTGGTTTCTTTCATTTGTTAGAGATGAAATCTACTTTTTATGGTCAGTGAGGTGCAGCTTCAAGGTGGAAATGCCACTGTGGCATTGACTGATTATTCATACATGATATGTCTTCCAGCATATAGAAAACAGTATATGGACATGAAAGAGACAAAGAAAGAAAATAGATTTTCACTGGACGGGGTCCAGTTTAAAGAGTCATCTACTACAGTTTGCTGATAATCCATCCATCCATTATCTATACACCACTTAATCCTCACTAGGGTCATGGGGGGCTGGAGTCTATCCCAGCTGACTTAGGGTGAAGGCAGGTTCACCTGGACAGGTCACCAGTCTATCACAGGGCTACACTTAGAGACAGACAACCAAGCACACTCACATTCACACCTACGAAAAATTTAGAATCACCAATTAACCTCAACATGTTTCTGGACCTTGTGGGAGGAAGCCGGAGAACCTGGAGAGAACCCACGCTGCACGGGGAGAACATGGAGACTCCACGCAGAAAGATACCGGGTGTCCTCACCGGGACACGAACCAGCGACCTTCTAGCTGTGAGGCGACGGTGCTAACCAGTTTATTTTACGTCTTAACCCGATTCAGGACTTTTGGGAACTTTCGGGGACTTTTGGATTGGTTTAGGTGACAGGTATTGGTTTTTTATTGTTGAAGATTTTTTTTTAAATATAAAAAGAGGGACATTTGTCATGCATTTTGAACCAAAAATACGTCAACTTATCAGAAAATTTATTTAACATAATATAAGAGGCTATAATGAATACCAACAAATATTTTGCTCATATTCTTTTTTGGGGTCCAATGAACCCTGAAAGATCTTCTACATATGGCAACATGAAAGTCCTGTTTGCTCTCCTCTGCTTTGGACTTCACCAACTCCTCTTTTAGCTCTGTTTTGGTCTCCACCAACTCTTAAGGGAAACATGTGGCTCTTTAGCTGCTAAATGCTCCACTATGTTCACCATGAAGCTGCTAACCTTGTCAGTTTGTTGTTTGGCTCTGGGTAATTAGTACACTGGAGCAGGTTTATTAGAGCTTTTTCACTATAAATTGTTACCAAATTGGCAAAATCGCAGACAGTAAATCCAAAATAATGACCTGAAGGATGCAAATGCATGAGAGGTTTATGATTGTTCTCTTGTGGGTTTGTCAGTGGGAGTAATTAGTCATTTAGCCAATTCTCAGCAGCAGCATGTAACGGCAAGAAAAGCATCTGACAAGTGTGACTGAATAAGAGTGAATACATTCGAAACACTGCTAAGGAGGACACTTGAAAATCAATTTTCCCAGCACACGCTTCTCTAGGTGTCGGGTCCTTTGGAAAGGCCTGGAGTTTGTGAACCTGCGAGACACATACACACAGACACCAGTGCCAAACTATCCAAACAAGACGAGATATATGTCCTTCCACTGTATTTTTTACAGCTCTCCTGGCTGCCGAATGTAGGTGTGTTCCCAGCTAATATCAACAGTGGAGCCGGTGAACATATCACAGAGGGACAGGAGTAAATGGTGTGTGATAGCATGTAGCATTCTCCGACCGCCGCTGAGGAATGCGACTGAGGAATTTACTGCACCTAGCGGAGATGCTTCTGGTCCATGTGTTTTTCAGCTTTGAAACCATTGAAACTCAACCTCCCCGCTGATACTGCTGAATTATGAACATGGATGAGAGTTTTGGAATCCTTTAATGCGTTGAACAAGTGCTACTTGGATGTAATTTGGCTATAATTTTTTTAAAAAGTCGACGCTGCAGCCAGAGAGACCGAAAACACATTTTTATCACAAATGTTCTAAAGTTTATTAAGTTATGATTGGGCATGGCGAAGTCATTACTGTACATCCAAACAGTGTTACATAAGAGTGTTTAGATGTGAAGAGGAAAAACACACGAGGATGACAGCTAAAGTTGAGCCGCAGAATCTTTGAATGTTGGGCTCGGAGCCTGCATGTTGTCATCTACTTACGCTAATGACGATGTTAAACTTCTGTCAGACTTCGTTTTCTTTATTGTTCGCAGGCCCGGCTGCTCCAAAACGGAGACAAACGCTGACAAATATGAGCATTATCTGTGGATTATGCCCGGTCACACAGCAGACGGCAGAAAAGATGCACAACTCTGACGCTGAAATGCACATTCAGACTCAGAAATATGAGCATTACCCGTACAGCACAATCTGAGGATTAAATAGGCAAAGATTAATGTCATTTCCCTGTGCTGCCTCCACCATGGGCCAATTTGTACTGAAATCCATTTGAAAACAGCAGGACTCGCCGCCTTACACGAGGCACCAGTTTGGTGGTTTTGATGGTTATTATCAACCGTGTAATTACACCCATAAATTTCCAGAATCCCCCTGGTAAAACATGTATTATTATTTGCTGACACGATTTTTGGTGAAACCGCGAGATCCACGAGAAGCGTGTGCCTCATGTAGAAAATATGAGAGCATGCTGAACTGCTTAACGCAGACGGCAGTCACTCCAGACTAAATCTCACTTGTAAATCTAATGACCACATTTGCTGATATTCATTCATGTGCAATATTTTTCATATCACGGGCTGTTGCTGCTGCTGCTGCTGCTGCTGCTGCCGCTGCTGCTCCTCTGCAAGCTTTTCCTCGCAGAGCTCCTCAGAGAAGTGATTGGACGGCGGGGCGGCCAATAGGCGGCGGAGCAGCAGGTTATTTGAACTCTCCTCACACGGCTCAGCTGAAGCAGACAACATCATCTGACTTTTCAAACATTATTCCCTCATAAGAGTCAGTCATCATCTGTTGCGGTGGTCAACAACAGAACAACAACGGACGCTTTTTAACCCTTTTTTTGTTTGTTTGTACCCCGTCAAGAATGGGAGTCTACTGCTTCTGTGCACGTCTGGGAGTCTACTGATGCACCTGTTGATTGGGGGAAAACTCTCTGAAGAATGGACAAAGTTGCTGTGATGAAGTCTGATACTGTGCTTCATTTGGACGACAGCAGGAGAGCAGAGGAGAGGAGCAGACTGAGCTGTGGAGACTTTCCTCAGACGAGTTTAACAGACGGACAGAACGCAGATCTGCTGCGATGCCAAGAGAGCGCTGAAGGCAACTCCGCCATAAAGTACAGGAGATATGGGTAGGACTTTTTTTTGTCTGTGTTGGAAATGTGTGATGGCATGTTCCAAAGTAAAACAGGTCGATGACGTACCATAGCTCAGTCATCTGAAATTATGCAGAATCTAAGACAATGTTTGACTTTGTGTCTGGATTACTCGCTCAGACGTTGGAGCTCTGAGCAGCAGTTACCTCAGTAAATCTTCTGCATGATAATCAATCACTTGTGTAACCGCAACATTTCTTGAATCTATTGAACTTCTCGTAGACAGATGTGGTGAATATATTAGTTGTGACTCCTCCAGGTCTCGTCTGAGCGGAGTGAAAGTTCGCCACAAGAGACAGGTGCTGCAGGACATGGCCCGGCCGCTGAAACATTGGCTATACAAACACCGAGACAACCCCTATCCCACCAAGACCGAGAAGGTCCTGCTGGCTCTGGGCTCACACATGACTCTAGTGCAGGTGAGACGAGCTCGCTGGCGGAGGCATGAAGTAGAGGCGGCTTTGAAGAGGTATTAATGTTGAACATTCTGAGCCAGTGCTGTCCTGAAAAAAAAACCTTGTGGCGTCCGTGCAGGTTTCCAACTGGTTTGCAAATGCTCGGCGAAGACTGAAGAACACAGTGAGGCAGCCAGACCTGAGCTGGGCCCTGAGGATCAAACTGTACAACAAATACATCCAGGGAAACGCCGAGAGGCTGAGCGTGTGCAGCGACGACACCGACTCAGATGGTAAGTGGCCTTTGGTGAATTTCAACTTTCTTTTAGTTGTAATTGTCAACAAACTCAACAGTTCTGGTTCCTTCGCTGCAGACGAAGAGTGTCCCTCACGGACTCCTATCAGCCAGTCAAACTTTGGCAGGTCGTCCTCCCACAAGAGCGTCCTCCAGAAACAGGGCAGCGTCCTCGCCATGGCCGACTCCGCCAACAGTGACGACAGCACGTCCCCTCCGTCCAAGTACAAGAGCAGCTTGCTGAATCGATATCTGAACGACACCCTGCGACACATGATGGCGACGAAGGCCGAAGGCGTCGCCTCGGCCCGGAAGAGGAGGAGCCACTCCGAGTCTTTCAGCTCCAACGACTGCGATCGAGACGTCGTCTCTCCAGCGTCGTCCTACGAAGAGGCCAACTTCGTCTACCACATGGGTGAGAGAGACTCGGCTTTGTGTCACACTAAAGCAATAAAATGAGTTTTCTTATTTTACTGGAACTCATTATGTGTGAATGGGGAATCAGGGAAAACCTAAAAATACAAACATAATATTATAGCATCATATTATGTCGAGCCAGCTTCATAAAGTCCAGAGAAGTTAAGCCATCAGATTCATCACTGCAGGTAAACAAAGAGGAATGAAGGCAGCCCCCGGCCACAGAAATCATTAAAGCATCTTCCTTGTTAATCGTGGATTTATACTGGATGTGAGGTAAAATGGCAGTTTGACTACCCCGTTTCCCTCCGGTTCATTTTTAACACACCACAGTGTACAGTAAAGTAAGAACAGAACGGACAGAAACTTCCACATGGCTCCTCAGAGCTCCCTGACATTAATAAATCTCTGGCATTCCACCGAAAGTCAGAAGCTCGGCGAGATTCAATTATAAAGTTACAGCAAAACTGGGAGGGAGTCTGACACCTGGGTGCCCTTTCAGGTCTATAGGGAGCGCAGCACATTGACAAGCCTCAAATCCGCTAAGGCGCGGGAGCCAAAGCCTCTACAAACATTACTAATAAAGACTCATGCAGACGCTGAAATCCCTCATTTTAAAATTGGATGGAGCTCGCGCTGGCTGCCACTGCACACCGCAAATATCATTTCCATATACTAGAATGTGCCATTTGTTCCGCTTCAGCTTCTTGCCATGGTGGAAATGTCCAGTCCAGTCTCAAGGACAATTACAGAATGTCTGAGACTTTATTCTTCCCAGGGTGAGAAGTGGAAACCTCAGCCAGTTGTAGAAATGGAGCAGTCCGTCAGAGAAACACCGAAGACGTCTCGCAGAGCGACTGTCACAGCTGCCACTCATGTGTGAGACGAGGCAGAGCGAGATCACTCATATTCATTTGGCTTCTCCCATCAGCGTTTGAAGGGTGTAGCTCCGCTCCCTCACCTCATGTGTGCTTTGGCAGCCTGCATCTCCCAAGTGTTACTTTCCTACTCAAAATCCATCTTAATTTACATTACATTATAGGAGCTGTGAAAAGATTTTTGAAAGCCATTCTACTCTTTAGCACTTCTCTTAAGTTTCACCCTAAAATTAAACAAGACGTGCTTTAAGTTCCTGTTTTATTATTTTTAAAACTAGTTTCCTGGCAAACAAGCGAGGCTAGGTCCCATGTGAAGACGTTATTTAATGGATATTTTTATAGGCTGTGGCAAGGCTTAATCTGTATTCGGGAAACTTAGTTGGTTAAGCGAATAATTGGAGGATAATTCNTAGATGTTTCCCTCTTCCAACACACCTGATTCAAATGACCAGCTCATCATCAAGCTCTGCAGAAGCCTGATAACGATCCTGATCATGTGAATCAGGTGTGTTGGAAGAGGGAAACATCTAAAACATGCAGGACTGTGGCCCTCAAGGACCAGGATTGGACACCCCTGCCATAGGTACTAATCATCTCTTAGCAGCTCCCCTCAGCTTTGTGATGCTTTAAAGGGATTTGAACTCATTTGTTTTGATCATCAAGTAACTATAGGTTGACATATATGCCCAAAGGTATTAGAAAATCGGCTCATCATTTTGAACCTTGAGACTGTTAGCTTAGCTTAGCATAAACAGTGGTGGCAGGGGGGGAAACAGCAAGCTTAGCACTTTCCAAAAAGGTAAAATCATGAGCCTAACAACACTTCTAAACCGCACTAATTTACACTTCGCATCACATTTGCTTAATCTGTACAAAAAACAAAGTGTGAAAATTACAAGTTCAGAACGTTGCAGGTTAAAAACCGAATTGTTTTTGGCTGCTTTATGGCTGCAATATCAAGTAACTGTTTTTTTTATTCTGCTGTCCAGATCAACAGTTGATAGCTGGCAGATGAAGTTAGAAAGATAGGCAGTGTTGCAGCAGAAATTTGCATGTCAAAAAACACAATTTTAAAAATATATACAGGATATAATTTTAAAAAACGAAAAAAAAGTGGAGCCTTTATCCGCTAAACAGAACGGTATTTATTATAAACTAGCTTCGTCAAGCATCTCATCTGTTAAAATTAGGCAGATTTTCCTCTCATTTATTCTTAGCAAGTATTCTTCTGTCCTGGTTTTAATCACAATATGTTCACGTGTACATTATCCATAAAACTGAAGCAAAAAACTGATTCCACCCCTCCAACAGGAAAAATGCATGTTCTTGTGTTGAACACTAGGGGGCACACTTTGTTTCTAGTAAAGAATAACAGTCACCAAACACTGAATATGAGGCTTTAGATTGCTTATTAACACATACAAAAGGTTATACTTCTAAAATTAGCTCCTTAAATACGTTCCTCGAATTCCCAACTTGAATGTTTGCTCTTCAGGAAACCTTTAGGTGGCGTCACAGAGGAGTTCGTCCAACATGTTCCTCTTGAGCAGTTTTAATTTAAAACGTGGCTTTGCATTGCACACACCGGGCAACTTATTTATTTGCCGTTACCAAGTAAATCCAAGTAAAAAAAATTAAATATTTCATGAATTTTGCTGCCACGTCTAGATGCTAAAGAGTTTCTACGGATACATGCAGAGTGGAGCCCAAAACTAAGCAAAAAAAAGACCAAACGGCGTGACCTTTTATACGTTCAACCACCAGAAATGCGACTCCAAGTGCTTCATGTAAATCTTACGTTATCTAACAGCTACTCGTGTTCCAGTGTCCACTTAAAAATCAACTGTTTACAGATTCTTTCCACTGCCTCAAAGTGGCCCAAAACGTCGGCTAAAGTGTCAATAAGTTCCAGATGAAGCTGTCGACATACTGTCATGGAATAAAAAGGTGAATGTCTCTTAATAGACGCAATTCTTGTCCCACGAACAAAATCTCGATGACTTCTACGCCAAACCAGATCGCTGCAATTTTCTGACCTGAATATGAGGTCAACTGGTAAAAAAAAAAAAAAAAACTTTGTGTTCGGGAGAATTCCTGGTTCTGTATACCTAAAGACGGACTCATCCCCTTCCATCTGGGGACACCGAACCCAAGCTTGTCACTGCATACCAGAACTTTCTTACACAACATGATTAACGGGGTTTTTCCACGTGTCCCGGTTTCTCGTCTGTTTTTTTTTTTTTTTGACATTTCGTACGAAGAATGCTTTTCAGCCTTGCGTGTACAACAGGCGAGTCCCCAACAAAAGGATTATGGAAAGAGCGCCTCACTTCTGTTTCCACTGGTAACCTGCTTTTGATTAAGCGGGATTCGACACAACACGGAAACTTAATGGCAGCTCTCGGACGGCAATTAAACAATAGTTAAGACTCGAGTGACGGCATCTTGAGGTTGACGTTTATTTCAAGTTTGAAACAATTCAAACGTTAATCGACCATAACTCTCGCAAATGTCTTTCAATATTATTAAGGCAGATATCGATTTAACATATTGCTGCGTATGATTGAAACAGATGCACAGCAAAAGCAACAGGAAAAAAAAAAGAAATCAAAGGACAGCAAGGGGGGAAAAAAACAGGTTAAACAAGCAAATACAAACAATACATGAAATCGTAAATATACTGGAGATAGTAAGGAACAAAGCTTCTGGGAATGTTCTCGTACTACGTGTGAGAAATGCCTTTAATGAGTCGGTGAAACGTAAAATGGATCATAGCAGACAGGAAACTACAAAAAGTGAAAAAAACTATATAGATAACAGGGTCGAGTTGAGGCCGTTTACTTAAAAAGAGCAGAGCAAGAACAACTGTGAGCTCAAGTGAATAAAAGGGACATTTTTTTTTATTTATTTATTGCAAGAGCTCTTGATACTGTAAACCTTGCGGCTCTGGAAGAGATGGTCCAGATGCAAAGACTGGTTGGGTTGCAAGGAAACCCTACGACACAAAGATCATGACTGTTTTCTAAGCTGAGGAGACAAGAAGTCCATTTGAAAGCGCCTATACATTCTGAAGCGCAGAATTCGATGGAAATCACCATCAAACAAACAAGTCTAGTGTTGACCGTGAAGATCGACTCGGTGTCAGTAACTGGGGTCTGATGGGTAACGTCTTCTTTGGGAGTATTCACAGTGTTCTGGTGTGTAATGCAACCTGCGTTAACAACCCAAACTGTGCGGTGTGTGTTTCATAAAGCTTCCTATAGTGTGTATAGTAGGACATTTTGTACTTTGCAGTTATGTATGCCAAGAAAGCACAAAGAACGGAACAAGCTTTTTCCCTGTCAGAGAAAGGATTGAGGAGACTTTCACTATTGATTAGAATTAATTATTCTGAATAAAACTTGACAGGCTGTAACCTACAAATTGGTTTGTGTTAGAGGCACTATGCTAGTAACCTGATGTCTTAATGTACAACTGGACCACTCTCGCCAATGAGATAAATTTAAACCAGACATGTGCTCACGTATACTTGGCATGGTTGAGTGAATTTAAAACACTATACGCTCCTCAGACGAGAGGCTACGTCTTGCCTGATTCTTTCATTCATGTTTTTAACAGAAAGTAGTGACACGATACAGATGACGGTTGAAAAAGAAGTGTGCAAACAGCAATGATTTTGTTTTTTTCTCCACCGACAGAACTTACTCCCACAATGAACTTATTAGAAGTGCTCATCCACCTGTCGCTCTCTTTCTGGTCCGTAGTCATTCCTATCAGGTTGGTGCTTCATTTTTTTTTTCTTTGTTCAGTCCGTTTTCAGGGTATGGAGCAGTAACCTCCACATGCCCCGGCCCTGGCCTGCTCGTGATCCCCCAGACGGACCTTCTGACCCTGGGTTTCGCTCTCCCAAAGCCCTGGAGTCTGGAGGATCTTCTCCACAAGTTCCTCAAAGGCACACTGGACGCCGTCTTTGGTTTTTGCACTGGCCTCTGTACAAAAGAGGATTTACGGGATGAGTTTTTTTTTTAAAGAGAGAGGAAAAAAAGGGTTGAACACTTTCCAAAATGTCTCAAAAAAAAAAAGAAGCTTCCATCAGCTTTTAAATCCTAAACGAAGCCTAACATCTGTCTTTTTACCGTACTCTAACGCTACTGATAAAGATTTCTAAATTGTCCGCGTGTTGACAAACACGACATGTAAAGTATGAAATGACTTCATTTAAGAAGCAGTGGGAATAAAGACATCTTCGCAGCAGATTAAAGCTACGACATCTTCTTGCCCAGCCCTTTCTAAAACCCCTTAATTTAGCCTTTCTAAAATGGAAACTCCACAGAAACGTTAACCCAATTTCCCAGAGAGGGGCAGATTGGAGATGGGAATCAGGAACACGTGTGGACATGGATTCGATAAATGAAAGCCCTGCTAGATGTTAATCATAATGCAGTTCTTCTGGAGCGGCCGCATCTTTCAGCGCGGCGTTGACAGTGCGGACTCGAAAATGCCAGAGCAGTATAAACAACACGGCTAATCTAAACTATATGCATGACTTACTCAATGATGTCTCGACTTGTTCCAACTGCGCAATTACAGTTCGGACTTTTAAGTACGGCGCAGTAAGTTTTAATGGCTTTAAGTTACATTTTATGGCTCTATTACTTTAAATGACCATGACTGACCACGTCTGATTTTTACACCAACACGGGTACTTACCAATAAAAAGCATCGAGTGTTTTCGAGCAAATTTCAACCCCTCATTTCTGTCCACTTCATGGTCGTCCTGCAAAACAAATAAATGTCCCATGTAATTAGGCCTACGTGGAGTACATATGGCAAAAAAATAAAGTGTTTCAACATCACCAGTGTGCTGCCCGAGCGCAGTAAAATGCACAGCAACACCCACGGCTGGTAATCACATTTACATTTTCGCTAATCACGTTTGAGCAGTTTTTGTGGCATTATTACATTCTAATAATGTCGAAAATACTGTATTCATAAAGCCACTGAAATGTGAACTGCATATGCTGCGTATTAGTGCCAGAAAAAGGGGAAAAAAACCCTCTGTAAAAGTGACTCACCTTATCAATTTTGTTCCCAACCAGCATTTTTACAATGTCGTTGCGCGTCGTGTAGGTTTCCAGTTCGTTCAGCCAGTTTTCGAGCTTCGTAAATGTGTCACGCTTTGTGACATCATATACTGAAAAAAGCAGGAGAGAGAAGGAGTTACGTAAGATCAATATATAATGTTGGGAGAATAACCTTTTATTAAATTTAATAGAAAAGCAACTGCTGTTATCTGCTGGTTGCTGATGTACAGTTTGGTTTTAAGCTGGTGTCTTTCTCGTGACTCAAACATTATCTTAAGCTAGTAAGCAAACAGCGACTGATGATGTAAGGAAGGTGTAAGGTTATAAATGTAGACAAAACACGGGACAAGAAAAGAGATGATTCTTTGATTTTATTCGGTGGACTTGTCACTATTTACCGAGTATGACTCCTTGCGCGCCGCGGTAGTAGCTGGGTGTCAGGGTGCGAAACCGTTCCTGTCCAGCTGTGTCCTACAAAAGCAAAGACAGTAAAAGATTCCATGATAAAAAAAAGACTTTTAAGAGCAGCAGGTACAGTAGCCAAGTCCCAGTGTCCATCCTCAGAGACTCCGACTCTGCCATGTGCTCCTAATCGGTTTGCACGGACTGTCAAACCGTGAACTGATCTGAGGGATCCTGACAGACTTTTGGGACTCTTCAGCTTTATGCAATCCTGAAGACTTTCTATTAAAAATTAGTTTTAGTCTAGTTACACTGAACAGCAGTTATTTTATCCAAAACAAGAAAGGCTCAGTTTCCAGCGTTACATTAACCTCGTCCCACTAGACATGTGACTTCTTCAAGTACTGTCTTATTCCTCGTGAGCTCTTCACAGTCTCTTGTTGAGATCATAACAAAACCTTTAAAACTTTGTTCAAGGTTTAGTTTATGGACTCATTGTTTACGGTGTGATTTCACTGGACGCTGAGACTGGGGCCACTCTGTCAGAAAAGACCGTTTTAATGGATTATTCAGCTACGCCCTGCAGTTCTGTCTGTGCAATGTCACCATCTGGTGGAGAAACTTTGTACTTCACCATGTTTTTCCTAATAGATAAATAACAGACAGGGGTATGTGGGCTTGTGTCTTACCCATATGGCCAGCTTTGCTTTGTTCCCATCTATAGCCAGAGTCTTTACTTTGAAGTCAACACCTGATCAGTAATGAGAGGAAGAAGTGAGTTTACATGATCAATTTTAAATTAAGAGCCGTTTCCATAAGTTTGTGCATTTGCTGGGGCTGCAACTAATGAGTAATTATCGATTAGTTGTTCTATAAAATGCAAAAAAAATGGTGACGCGTGTTGATTAGTGTTTCCCAAAACAAAGATGGCTTCCCTTTAGTGTTTTGTTTTGCCTATAACCCAAAAATATTTAGTTTAATGTCATAGAGAAGGACAGAAAGTGTAAAATATTCACATTCAAGATGCTGGATTGATAAAAATAGTGATTGTATTTTCTCTAAAAATGACACCAAATGTTTAATCAACAATCTAAATAGTTGGCGATTAATCTAATAGTTGATAACTAATCGATTAACTGTTGCAGCCCCAGGTAATGTGTGTGTTTGTGTGTGTGTGTGTGTGTAACCTATTGTTGCTGACTGCTCTGGATCAAAAGTGTCCTCAGTGAACCTCAGGAGGAGACTGGAAATACAGATAACATGGAAATGAGCAGGACATACAGTACAATAAGCTACTGTGAGCTGGCCACCAGCTTTGGCAACCTGTTTTCTGAGCTCACAGGATCACAAGAGTACAGTTAGTTGTTGTTGTGGAGCTTTAGTGTCATAACTTCAGCTTACAGCAACAAAAAACAGCACTAAAAAGTTTTACAGCCGTCCCCAAGTCACCCAAACACGTCAGCTAGTTAGCAGCAAATACTTGAACCAGACTGGCAGGAAAAGAGCAACAGCCCTCCCAGCTAGCTGCTGCAGCTGCCGAGCACAGAGGACTGAACTTACATAACAAGAAAGATGTCAACATTCACAACAGGCTAGCTAGCCAGCCCGCTACAAACACACACACACCTGGACTTTCCGACGCCGCTTTCGCCGATTATCAACAGTTTCAGCGTCGTCAGCACGTCGTCGTCCATGTTCCGTCGGGAGCTGGTTTCACCTGCACTTGGAGACGCTTTTACCTATAAATGTTTCAGTTGTTTCAGACCAGCAGCAGCAGCAGCTATCGGCTCCGGTGACAAGCTGCTGTTCATCAGCTTCCGCACAGCCTGCGACGTCACGAAGTCTCGCGAGATTTGGAAACAAAAACGCAGCAACACAAATATTTCTTTATTATTTATATCATATATATATTTTATGCTTGCTTTTGTTCTTTTGTNGGTCTCATTTATCTTCTTCATTTTAAAGGAATAAACTGATACTTTGACAAATTAACCACCTTCAAGTCAAAACCTGACGCTAGCATTAGCAACATGTTAGCTTAGCTAGCCTGGGTCAGTGCAGAAGTGCTTGAATTCACCTGCCAACACCTCTAAAGTTCACTAATTAACACTTCATATCTGTTTAATTTAATCTGTACAATAACCCAAGTGAAAAAACAGCAAGTTGTTTGTTTTTTTAAAAACTCGCTGGGTTTGTTTATTTATTTAGGTTTTTACTGTAGCTACTCTGCTAGCTACTTCCAGGAACTGTAGCTTCCTTTTACACTTCAATCTGTATTCTTTGTTATACACAGAAAACAAATCACTGTGTTTATTTTTCAATTCAATTTGTCCAAAAAAAAATGAAGAGTAATTAGTTCAACTGCTGTTACAGGTGCATGCTATATATAAAATATCGAAGTAGCAACCCTGACGTCATGCAAGTTTGGCATTTTGTCCATCAGCATGTTGGTTTCTAGAAACCAGATGTGAAGAGCGAGGGCTGGATCCAAATGAGAAACTGAGGACACTACACACAGCATTTTCCGACTATTTTCCATAATGTACTTTCATGTGTTTATTTGAAGAAGTCAATGGAAATTGCAGAAGTGAAAATAAATAAATAATATACCCAATTTTGGCAAAAGAATATTTCAGTCTGCTTGAGGTGTTTTATAAACTTTTTGGAAAAAGTATTAACGTATTCAATAAGAATAAACTTTGAACTCGCAAACATTTAACTCCCTGCTTCCAAACCTTTAATTGTCCTCATGTCCAGACAGCATCAAACACACCTAATGAATAATGAAGCTTCTTTTTTTTTTAACCATTCTTCTGTTATTTTTTTCTTTTGTTTTTTCTTCTTTTTTTTATTGCCGTGCTTCGTATTTTGCATACCGCCACCTTCTGACAACGCTAAACAACCAAGTTCATTTGCTTCATCGCAGTTAATGAAACAAGCCTAATGCGTTTTTTGTTTGGTTTTTTGCCGCTTTTTTTGGTGATAGTTTGAAACTTCACTTAAAATTTGATTGATAGTTATGTGGTAATATTGCTTTTTACTTCTATGCAATCAGACTAACTTTGGCAACCAGTGAGTCGCCCCCTGCTGGCTGTTAGAAAGATTGCAGGTACAAGTCACTTCAGCATTGGCGTCACTTTTTAGACCTGGGTGTTGCGTCTGTCTTTTATAAACAGCCTATTGATGACCCACTTCTTAGCTAGGTACAGTAACTTTGTTTTTAATGCGTTATCTTTATTCCATACAAAAAAACAAAGAATTGACTTTTTTTTGTTAAGTTTAATTCATTCCATCCATCCATCCATCCATTATCTTTACACTGTTTAATCCTCATTAGGGTCGCGGGGGACTGGAGCCCAAGTTTAATTAATTCAAGTGTTAAAACAACTAATCTGACAGCGAGAGTCTAAACAAATCAGGCTAACCAGTTCCCCTCTCTTTGTGCCAAGCTAAGCTAACAGGCTGTATGACATGGCATCATATTTACCGCACAAACATCAGTGGTGTCTATTTTCTTATCTGACTCCATTTCCTCGAATGCTGACCAAACCCTTCAAACATGGCATAAACTCACTCACTTGACATCATCTTATTTATGGTGTTTTTTGGGGGTTTAATGATGTCATCAAACACTACGTGGACAGCACTGCTGAAATGTTTGTGCAAACTTTTAATATATCCCTGCTGGTCATATTAAGGGTGTTCGCAACCCAGTACGACTCCTCTGTGGAGGTGAGGTGGAAAGTCAAGCTGCCAGATTCATGACAGGCGCATAGGCCATTAACACGTTTATACTCCGCCCAGGAGACGGCTAAAACAGTCACTAAACCCAAAGTAATTTATTAAGTGATGCCACTACACAGTGTCTTACAAGGACACCTTAAAATTAGACTAATTTGTCCAGGCAGTAAAAGTCTAATGGAGGAGAATATGTTAGTGGTGTTCTGTACGGGAAGGTTTACATTATATAATGTGGTATTCAGATCAAGTTCAGTATTTCCCTCAAAGAGGCTGGAGAGCCGTAAATGTGACTAGAACTGTGTTTTATTGGACGTGGAGTGGTGAAAAATATAGGTGGACAAACGCCTCACTGCGTTTCCCACCAATTTTGTTTCAAATGAAAACATGCAGGGAGGGGAGTGTCCTGTTTGTGGAAACATGCAGGTATCTGCATTGAAAATAACATGGTGTTGCAGCGTGGGTCTCAGTGACACACCTATGAGACTGATTCAGACAATTCAATTCAATTCAGTTTTATTTGTATAGCGCATATTTACGACAAGTCATCATAGCGCTTAACAAAGGCAGAAACACCCAACAATCCAAAACATTTGGATTCCCTATAAGCTTCAGCAGTCTGCAACAGTGGGAAGGAACCCAAAACCCCCGCGGAGTCATCGGAGAGTTAACCAAAGATTTCAGTCGGCTCATGTCGACATTATTTTTATTGTGAGTGGTTGCATGAGGTTTGATTTGAGCTGTAATTACACTCGGTGGTGGACGTGGACACACCACCGACGCATAGCTGTTGTAATAAAACCACTTTAATAATTCACAGTTCGGAGGACTCCATTTCATACATGCACAATGCGTCGTATCTACGAATTCCTCGCATGCACACCGTTGCCCTTGTACTGAGCAGAGATAAATCTTGCATGCTAAAGCAGAGACGACTTCTATTCTTGACCATGTTCCGGTGCAGACATACACACTGACAGCTGTTGACACCCATGTACTCGATGCTAATATGCTACCTTACTAGCGTACATGTGTCTACTTGGAAGACTCTTTGTGTTTCATGCATAGACGCCACTCCTTAGTATGTACATGATAACCCTTGTAGCGTATGTGGACACAAACTTTGTGTTGAACGCAGATGTCCATGCACACAAAGTATACAACTGGTCTTATGGGACTTATTCGTCTGCTTGGAGACCCTGTTCCATACATGCACAGTAGAACTTCTACCAAGCATGGGTTCCTTTGTAGTGTAGTCACCACGCTGAAACAAACTTTGGCTGCATGAAGACATCCGTGGACAGCAGACTAAAAACTAACATCATATGTTCCAGTTCGAGTCTAAGGTTCATGCAAACTGCACCACACAATCTCACTTTTCATACAAAGTAGACCGGTTTTCTTGAACTTTAAAAACAGACAGTATAATTTTACATTGTAGATTCTCATTTACAATTCACATGTTGACATTTATAAGCAAAGGTATTAGAAAATTGAAAATATTTTGAACCTTGAGACTGTTAGCTTAGCACAAACAGTGGAGGCAGGAGGAAGCAGCTAGCTTAGCACTTTCCAAAGGTAAACTCATCAGCCTAACAACACTTCTAAACCGCATTTATTAATACTTTGCATGGCATTTGTTTAATCTGTACAAAAACCAAAGCGTGAAAATTACAAGTTCAGAACTTTGCAGGTTAAAAGCCGAATTGTTTTTGGCTGCTTTATGTCCGTAATATGCTAACGTGTTGTTTTAACACTTTGGGTTTTATTAGCAAGAGGAAATTCGGTACAGCATGTTGATTAATGAGCTTTTTTAGGTGGATTTTATTACCGTGAGACAGACAGAATGGCTGTTTTCCCTGATTCCAGATTTTATGCTAAGCTACGCTAACTGCCGTCTGGCTTCAGGTTCATTACCGCTGCTCAGACATGAGAGTGATATTGTTCTTCTCATCTAATTCTCAGCAGCAAAGTAAATAAGTATATTTCTCAAAGGGTGCAACTATTTTTTAAATTATTAGGGTTACATGTAAGCCGTAATATAAATTTACAAGAACACTGTGCAAAAGTGCAGCGAGCAGCTTCATATTACGGCTTGTAAATTTGTGTTGTAACTGACCCCCGCTGCAAATGTGAGACTCACCAGAGGTAAAACAATGTTTTTTCTCCATAATAAATACAACAGAGGTGCAGAACTACTTTCTTGGCAAGAGGTGTTATAGCTAAAGAGAGAAATGCTGAGGAA